CATTGAGTCCAACCCGTTCCCTGACACCTCAACTAAACCATGGCAAATGCCCTTTTTCTTTATCAGAAATAGCTGATTTTCTTTTCTTTGTTTTAAATCGTCCCCAGAGCAGTTCATGAAAACTCAGGAACCTGCCATCACAAGGCCACAATCCCCATATGATATTAACAAGTTTTTGATGAAATGAAAATTTAGGATCTTTCACTGCAAGCTCAGCCACAACTTTTGGACTTCATTTTTAATTTTTAATAACAATCAATAGCTTATGGGGAAATGAATCAGGCAGAATTGCTTTGAACACCTCCAGTTTGAGTCTCCATGCTTAAACTTATGCCAAGATCCCTCCCTTCCCATAGCTACAGAGCATACTAGCAAGTAAAGAGATACCTGAGTGTATTCACAGCTATTTAACGCTCCTTTGCATCAGTTAAAAATGAGCTCCCTCCTTTTGGCATCACAGTTTGAAACTGCCTGTTTGATATTCTGATGTAGTTTGAGTCTCCATGTTTAAACTTATGCCAAGATCCCTTCCCGTAGCTACAGAGCATACTAGCAAGTAAAGAGATACCTGAGTGTATTCACAGCTATTTAACGCTCCTTTGCATCAGTTAAAAATGAGCTCCCTCCTTTTGGCATCACAGTTTGAAACTGCCTGTTTGATATTCTGATGGATTCATTTTTTCCAGCTAGGAGAAGCACGCACAGCAACCTCGAAGGCTTCGTGCAGTGAATTAAACCAGCAGAGAGTCATCACAGCATCACTTGGAGGAGATCTCTCCTCTAACAGGGACAGACAGAGCACATAGCAACAGCAGCTTTTCATGTTTCAGGCTTCAGGTTTGCTTTTTGTCAGAGCTTTGGGAAATACTGGTGATACCGTACAGCTAACAAGGTAACTTGAGAGGGAACAAAGCATCTCTCCTTAACAACAGCTCTTGGAAGGGAAATAAAACATTTCCTGTGCGTTCAGCTGCAACCAAGGTGCCAAGATGCAGTGGTAGATAATGGAACAACCTAAAAGAATATATTGTTGCTGTATCCTGGAGATACTTGCCTCCCTTTATTGCTGCAGGGAATGTCAAAGGCAGGAGGGAACAGGGCGGGAGGAAACCAGAACTTGATGGGAGCCAGAGCAGGAAACACCATCCAGCATCTCTAAGACCACCCAGTATCAAGACACTGGTGGGGAAAGAATTCACAATGTGCAGAATGGACATTTCCAGGCCAGTAAAAATCCCCATTTTCATTGTGGCAAAACCCATCGTGTCCCACTTTCAGAGAAGAGCTAAAAGGCATTCAAGATTTCAGAGGGTAAAGGTGAAAGTGGACAGAGAAATCCCAGGTCCTCCAGGATTCTCTGCAGATCCCCAGCACTTTGCCTTGTTTCCAGAAAAGAAGATTCCCTGGCCACAAAAATATTAAGTTGTTTGGGTGTTTTTTTCTTTTTGTGGTTTTGTTGTTTTTTTTTGTTGTTTTTTTTTTTTTTTTTTAGTTTTGTTTTTTAAATAATTTGATACCATAAACAATAAAATGTGACACAGCAAAGAGATCATTACCTTGGGCTGAGTGAAGGGAGCAGCCTTGAAAATCAGCTGAATTATTAAGAAAAGAGGTCCAGATTCTTTGAATTTTCTTTTCATTCACATATAAAGTCTTTTGTGCCTCATCCTTCATAATTTCACCTAACTACTCCACAGCCAGATGTCAACGGTTTAAAGGTTTAGAATGAAGGAGAGATCCAATCTGTTTCTTAACAGTTTTAGGGCTCAGTTTCATCAATTGCTTATAAGCAAAGTTAACTCCATGGTCTCAGACTCTCCTCACTCTCATTTTGAGTTCAAGTCTGAGTACTCAATCCATCCATGGGTGGAAGGGAACAGGAGCAGAACTGCTCCTAGCTGATAACGCGATTAAGTTGATATCAGAACCCCAATTCTTTAAATAGCACTAGTTTGCTATAGACAAACACAGCCAGACATAAAACAGTGATGCATTTAAAACCAACAAACACATAGGAGTACTTTTTTCCTCTTTCCATTCCAGCTAATTTTTTGAGACTGACCAATTTAAATCTGCCCCAACCTACATAAAAACACATTTCCACAATAATTACTGACAGCAACTGTAAATTCTCCACAATCCTCTCTCCATTCTGCTTCAGAAGTGCAGGGAAAGGGAGAGATCCTATGCTACTGAGGGAGTGCTGTGGGCAGTCACCCTGTGAGACAGGACGTGGCAGTTCTGGGCAGTGTCTGAACAGTCTGTCCTTAAGGCAGCCACTGCTCACACCTACTGCTCAATATTTCAGCTGAAGCAAGGTCTGCTCTGCCAATTAACTTTTTTTTTTCCATGCTCTAAACCTTCCCTTTACCTTCAAGTCCAGGAGGAAACACTCTAGTGAGTCAGAACATGGAAAGTCTCACTGTAAGTGGGACTGACACGTGAGTGGTGTTGTCCTTGAGGAGGATGCCACTGCCTCAGTTAAGTCTCCTGAAACTCCTGAGCAGATCACACAACTGCAGACAGACAGACAGACAGGTCTGCAGGGCAAACCCCCAAATCCTGGGCTGGAATGGCTGCAAGATCACACTGCATGACACCAACCTTTAGCTGCACTTCATCTGGAAGGTCGTGGGACAGTGACATACCAAACACTTGACTAAAAGCAGTGTCCAGGAAATTCTGATCACTTTGAGGGGATTTACAAACATTGGCAAACAATTGTCCCTCCCACTTACAGTCATATGTTTGTGTAGGCTGAAACCACTACAGTAAGAAGGGAAGTTAGACAGGAAGAGAGTCAGAACTCATTTGTTGGTCATACTAGAGATTCCCTCAAATTCACACTGCTCTACATTGGTGCAAGTTTTCAGCATCCCCAGAGTCCTTTGAAACATTTGTGGGGAAGTTCTAATGCCCAAAGCTTCACAGGTGTGTGCGTCTCCCTTCACCATCACACTGCAGAGCAATCCTTTAAAAATAACTACAACCATTTCCTATAGATTATGGAAAATATGTTGTGTCCTTCAAGATTAAGGATCTAAAAGCTTAAGAATTAACAGTGACATTTTCACAGAATGGGGGAAATTTTTTCCTTTCACATAAAAATTTTGAATTCAGTCTTCCTTCCCCCCCCCGGGAAATGTATAGAAAAAGGCCTTCATTTTGGCAAAGAAAAGAAACACAAATTAAAACTGAATATGCCTTTCCTGATTTTACATTTTAGTTTCTTTTCTTCCATAATTTCTATGGTGAACAAAAATACTAAAAAAAAAAAATCAGGATAGAATTGTTAAACACAAAAGGAGAGAAACAGATCACAAGACATAACACATGGAATATGATAGGTTTGGGGCACAAAGCCATTTTTAAACAACATGTTAACTGGCTATAATATTGTTCTCAGGCAATTGGTCTAAAACCTAATGTTAGAAAAGTTGAGTTTGTAGAATTTTCAGCAAAAATTATGGTGAAGAAAGGACTGAAAAATGTTGCTGTGAATCACTAATGCTGCCCCTTAAGGAATCACACACAAAATAAAAATTTCTTCTTTCTTCAAGTCACACACCAGTGTTGTGTATAATTAATCTAAAATCCAGTCACCTGCTGTTTTCACAGTAAGAAAGATACAGATATAGAGAAAATATAGGTCTAAGAACAGAATTTTATTTGATTCTAGAAAGCATCATGCATCAATTTTTTTTCTTAATGATCCTTGCCCAGCTTTGAGATGAAAGAATAGCATTTACAAAGTAAAAGGATGCAAAAGTAAGGTTAGCACCATAGGAGGAACACTCTTCTGTTTACAACTCCATTTGACAGACAGTGATAAAAGAAAACAGAAGAAAGTGACAAAAAAAAAAGCTAGGTAGTTAGGTGACCTTGCATTTTAATTTTCAACATCCAAGATACTTAAATCTAAACATCAAGATACCATGGCTCTCTGAGCAGTACCTAATAATTCATGTTCAGCAAAATTTGCTCTGTACATTGAGTAATATTCAAGAGTCAAAAGATAATTGTCATAAAGTACCAGCTAATGTGCAAGGTAGACATTGTTGGAGTCCAGAAAAAGAAAGGAAACAAGAGAAACCAATGTGAGGAGTTTGTCTCTCTTCCAGTCTTTTGCAGGTATGGCTATTATGATTTGCTGCAAAGGTCAAAGAAATAGAAGGGATGTGTACTGGAGCTGGCTGGGATGGGACAAAGATCCTAATATTATCCTGTAATACCCAAGTTTCATGGGCCAAATATCCAGATGTTCTTAATCCACACTCTCCCATTTCTTACCTGCAAGCAACTACAGAATTACATCAGATTTCAAATGTTTGTTTTCCTTATTTTTTATTAATTTTAAAAATTTTCTTCATGCGGTTCTTATTGTAAGGTTTCCAAGAGAGTGAACAGTTTTACCAAATCTCCAATCTACCCCAAACAGAAATTCTAATACAGGATTTAGGAGTTTTAAATGCCACATTGTCATTATTATGTGCTGTCTTCTTAAGGCAATGGAATAATTCCTTCCAAGTACCACAATTTTGCATCACAAATCGATTCTAAAATCTCCTTCGCAAGCATCTATAATTGCAATACATGTAAAATTATTTAAATTTTATTAAACTATTAACCTGACTCATTTATTAGAAGAAAGGTTTGAACTCCAATTATGAGGAAGAGGCAGCTTTTTTTCAGTTTGGGAAATACATCTTTTGATTATTCCCACATTTCAAGGTCACATGTATGGACTTTTAACAGCAACATTGAAGCATCCTGTTAAAACAACTGCTTTGTTTCCAAATCATAGGAAAACCATTTAATCCCCAAGCAGGGGGTGGTGTAACCCAAACCAGTGGTATTTTTCAGACTAATAACCATTAACACTTGAACACCTATTGCAGTAAACACTGTTTTAACCTTGAACTACCCAGAGGAGCCTTCATCACATCACCACCCTGAGTGCTACATCACAGCCCCACCGGCAGAGGAAGGAGACTCTGAACTTTTCTTTCTCTTTCTTTTATTTATGCTTGGACTTCCAGCACTGCACATCAGATAGCCAGGGTCTTAATCTGTCCTCTATCAGACTGCAAAAATACAAGGCCCTTTCTCCACAAATCACAGAGTCACATCCCACAAACCCTTCACGTGAGCAGTTCCTTCCCTCTGGAAAAGCATCTCTCCTCTCAAGGATTTCAGCTAATGCTTCTGGCTTAGAAAAGATTAAGTGCAATCAGTTACACTGAAGGTTTACAATGTGGCCCTTGATTGTATTTTCTGTGCACGCATTTACATCAGGCACACGAGTTATATAAAATAGTTTGGAGTACAAAAATATGGTTATAACATAGGAGTACCAAACAGCACAGAATTAGAACAGTTTTATTACCATAATACCAATTTATATACAGACCCCCAAATTAAGGATTTTTTCTTTTTTTAATCCTAAGTATTCTTCCCAAATTGACAACTGTAGTGTACACTCTATAAACTGCAAATTAACAACACAGATCTATTTTAACCCCTACATTGTCTATGCAGTCTGCACCAATCCTCTCTCTTCCACACAAAAGTGTATTATAAATAATCTCACAAAATGTCACGTATGTTTTATTGCACATTGTACATGCCAATATTTAAAAGAAAGGCTCAAACCTTTCACTTGATAACTGTTTAAATAACTAGCATTTACTTGTGTTATGAATACTATTGCATTTTTCAGGCTCTAATCTTAACTCATAATTTAAAAGAAGAATAGCAGAACAGAAAATATGCCTTGAACTTTATATCTTTTATGAAAAAAAGAAAAAGCTTATTTAATTCTGCTGATCTCTACTTTATAAAGTCATTAAAAACATCTGACCTAATTAAAAATGCTGTTTCAAAATTTCTGCATGTTTGACTATAAAATTATGCATGTAGCTGCTTGTGCAATCATCTATCCCTTCTATTTAGCAGAATTAGATGTCTCTGTGCTGCACTGACCGGAGGGTTGAGTTACACAGGTCTTAGTGTGAGCTACAGGAGTTGTTTTATCAGCCTCTGCTCTGCTGGTCTGCACAGGGGCAGGACATGAGGAGCCTGACAGACACCTGGACAGCTTGGGATAAAAGGACACTGGGCACAAATGGCCACCCAGCATCAAGGCCATGTATAATTCCCGTTAAGCAGATCTCTAGACTAAGGAATACGAGTAAGTTACCATTAATATGTGGGTTTATGATATGCTGCACTAAAATATGGTTGCTAAACAAAGAGAATGATTGGTTGTATGACAGATATGTGCCAGCTGGTAAAAATGCCTCACTGGATAAAAATCTGCGTTTTGAGGGTTAAAACCTGGCATGAACAAAAAGATTTCAAAGTCGATCGATCAAATGTTTTGCCAAGGGTTTCTAAAGCTATTAGCCATCAACAGCTCCAGAAAAGGATAAAAATAGCAAAACCAAACCACTAAAATTGCACTATTACAAAGAAACAAGTCCATGAAAGGGAGAGTCACCAGCTGCAGTTAAGGGACAGCCACTTCGAGAAGCCGATTGTTTTTTCGCTTGCAAGTTGGGATGTTGCCATTTTTCTGGCTGCCTTGTATGAACTTCACACACACTTTGTCTTGTTTGAACTGGACCAGGAACCTAAGAGAGGGAATGGTAAAAACTTTAGTTAAGTGTGGAGAGAAATAAAAAGACACATGAGGAGCAGAAGTCTTTTCCTGTTGGTTCTAAGCATCACTCCAAAAGATGTCATTTTCAGCTCTGTAGTAATAATAAAGAGTTGGGGAATAAATAAAAAAGCCATAGGCTATGGTATGGCTAGAATCTCCTTCAGCTTGTACCTCTTAATGACTACTATTTGCCTATAACTGTGGACATTTTACAAGTTAGTTTGCTATTCCTTTCGAAAAAAAGCAGTTTGAAACAGATTTTCTCATTTAACAGAAATGCAGCAAAGACAATTTCCAATTACTCCACCGTTGGCCAAAGGGACTTCTCTGTTTTCATGGAAGCTCAACACTTCTGTAGCAACATCAGGAGTTCTCTTCTTCTGATTTATGCTTAATTTAGTACATCTGGTATTTCAGCAGCTCTCATATGTCTAATCCTTAGCTAGCCTTTATAGGCCCCTGCTCGACAACTGGGAAAATTCACTTCCTGCCCAGCAATCTCCAAATTTAGACATTTTCTACAGTTCAGGGTAAATTAATCTGGATTTTACTCTTCACACTTTTTACTGGAAGGGAAATTTCACTGAATGTAGAGAATTGCTTTTAAAAAAAAAAGAAAAACAACACCACAAAAACCCAACGTGCTCCTGTGGAGCCTCAAACCTCTCACGGATCTGGATAGCGAGATTAAAAGCAATAAGCAAGGCAGTGCTGCCTCTTGGCTCACATGCAGTGCTTGCTGACCTAAAAAGTCCTTTGTAATACAGCCGATTTTCCCTTTTAGCATCCTTAAAAAGTCCTCCAGCAGAGGCCAAAAACTTCAAAGAATTTGCTCTGCAGCCGGAAACCACAAATCAAGCTGACGGCAGAGCTCAGGGGAGGAAGTGGCCTCTGCTGAGCCGAGCTGCCCTTGGGTCCTGCTTTCCTGCTGCACAGCCCAGGCACTCAGTCTTGCTCAATAGTGCATTTTTGGGGTGCAGTATTAAAAGCTGCAACCCAAAAATATGTGCAGCTCTTACAGCCACTGTCTCATCACCAATGCAGCATTTTCCTACACCCACTGTTCAGATATTATGCATGTGAATGGAGTGTCCCCTCCTAAACACAGCCCTGCATCAACAGCATTCTTACATCAGCTCTCTTCCCAAAAAGCATATTCGAAATAAGGCCACATTTTCTCCTCAATCCCTAGTTGTGCTTGTGTCTAAACTCTAGCAGGGAGAAGACTCCTGCTTCACCATCAACACAGATGGGACTGCGAACAGCTTAAAATTATTTAGTCTGGATAAACTCAATAGCTGTACACTCATGAATGTTTTTAATCAGCAAGAGAAGAAACAAAAACCACATCCCAAAAAGCCAAACTCTCTGAAAGCAGGCTGTTTTCCAGACCTAAGGCAAGCAGGCTGTCCAGACTAGTGCAATGCATGCTTAAACTCAGCTTTAGTAGTTTATGCCTTTGTAGCCCCCCCCCTTAAACTAGAAATTTACTGGGAATAGCCACACTCTTTTAGAGACTAAAAAACACATACACTTGAGGAAATTAAATGACGTCTGGTAACAGAACACAGGAAAATGGCAGATTTTATTTTCAAGGAAAGAGCAAAATTAGCCTTTTAATAAATCCTCAAATCTGAACAGATGCAAACTGTACCCACTACCATGGCTCTAGAACACACACAATATGGTGCAGCCACATAAAATGGTTCCGTTTTTGCCTACAGGAAATTTACTTTGCCATTGTTAAAGGGTTCCTATTTTTCTTCTTTTTTTCAAAGGGAATAAATCCACCCAATCAACAATACTGAAAAGAGGGGCCACTTCACAGAACAAAAGTGGCAATGGCAATGGTGGACTAAGTGGGAGACTCTTACTCAGCAAACTTTAGGAGTTCACACACAAACACCTTTATTCCATAGCTAAAAACACCAGAAGGGCAGTCCTTATTTAAAGCCAAAATATGAAACTGTACTGAGCAGAAATAAATATTCTTTTGAAATGCAGACTTTTCATCAAACAAAGCTTTTGAACAACCAGAAACCCCCAAACAATAGATGGTTACACCTTCACAAGAGAGAGGATAGAGCTTCATAAACCTACACTGGACTGGGGACAGGCTTTGTATTCTTTTTGGGTTGTTTTCAGAAGAACTTGGCAACTGGTGTCCACTCTAATCTATAAATATCTCAGAGTAATCTGTGAACTTTTCAGTCACATGCAAAATTGCTCTCTCAAACGTAGTAACTCTTGATTATTTCTACAGCAACAATTCTGCTTCACAACCCTATTTGAAACTACTTCAACAAAAGCCTGTTTTCTGTAATGACTTTCAGGGACGTAAAAGCCAAAATGAATACTATAAATGAGTACAGGCTGAAAACTGGATCCTTCTTTACAAGTATTCTGTCAAGAGAAAAGAAGTATTAGCTACACAACAGTGTTTTGTTATTCTGACACCAGATACTTGACTTTTTAGCATGCTGCACTGAAGAAATTTACTCTAAAGCAAACAAGAAACATACTCATCAGATATCTCAATGTTGAGCTTCTGTTTGGTTTGGCTGAGCGTAGTGCGGTAAAGTTTTGTGGCCATTTCAATAAGGTGATCGCTGCTGAGCAGGAAATCTCCTTTGCTGGCAGCTTCTGAACCCTGAAACAGGAAGGGAAGCAGTTAGGACTACCAAAACCTTGAGTATGATTAAATGGCAGACAAGCAGGAGGGTTTACAAGGAGTCTTCTCTTCCCAGTTTAAGGAAACAACAAACATTTGTCTTGTAAATTAAGTGCAGTGTACAGGATCAAAATACCATTTGCACCCACACAATCTACAAATCAGGTGAGAAAGGTAAAAAACAAATCCCTTCTGGCCCTAAAGGAGGGCCATCTTCATTTTTCTACAAAACTGTAGTGTTTCTGTTTGCCTTGTCTGGATACACCACAGCAAGCTTCCAATACTTGCAGAAAGGAACAAAAGCAAATTACCAACACCAGGATCAGGATGATGGCAGTGAGTGTGAAAAGACACTGTATATAACAGTCTTCAAATTCATTTAGGCTAGAACACAGATGCCAGCTTAATGATTTTAACAGAGCAATGGTTACAGTGCAGTGAGGCAAATATAGCAGTGAGCTAAGTTCCTTAGAACTGAGTTACAAATTAGCTGTGCCTCAACGTCGACTTCTTGGCATCCCATAAAGAAGAGAGAAATATTCTACCAGTATATGTAAGGAAAGCACTGGCACAAGGTACCTGAACCATATTACAAGTGGAAAACTCTGATCCTGAAGAGACTGCAGTGAAACATGAAGTCTGATTTTCACAGTTAAATGATCAGTCATAATGTAATAAACTGTTCTCATTTGGCTTCAGTAGCTTTAAATCAAAGGTTTTTTCAGCTATGGCAAAATTAAATAAACTTCTAAGCCTACAACCCTCTGGTTTAATGCTACAAGATAATTAACAAACAGGTTTTACATCGCTGCATGTAAAACATACTATTTTGTGATGGAATGGTAACCAACCTCCTTGAGGTGCACTGCAAAGAATCCATCATTTTGGGAGCTCATGGACACTTTGGTAACATCTCCCAGTGGAACCTCTGACTTGATAGTCCCAGATTTTTGATCCGCAAGAAGAACGTTGTTTTTGGTTAATAAGAAAATCCTGGATGCAGCCTGTGAAAATGCAAAAATGCAGATCATTGTCCATATGAGGAGAGAGCTGGTTTTCATCCTGCACCTACTAAGACTCCAAGGAGTTCACAGAGTTAAAAAGCTTGGCCCACATTAGCAAATGTGAACATTTGATGTTCAGTAAAAGCTGCAGATCAGTTAAAATCAGGTCAAATTTATTTATGTGTCTAATTATAGACTGAGAAGCTTAGCTCATTTTGGCACATATGCTTAGGTATAAACAGTTCCTTTAATTACTGGCTTACAGCTGTAAAACTCAGAAAGTCAAACTCTGAAACTATGCAAATCAGGATAACCTCATTTCTCATGCTCTTTAAATCTCCAGGAAAATCATCACACACTAAGTTCCTATATTGAGCATTATTCACCAAAACTATGATGCAGAGCAACACAAATCACTTTTCGCAGTTATGTTCTCCTCCCTTTATCTCTTGGAATTATTCTTTAGGAGGATAAGCATTCATATTTTCAAAAGACAAATATTTTTAAAGCATAAAATGTGTGTTCTTAAATTTGTCTTCAAAAGTACTAAGAAAGAGAAATAAGAACTTAATCCACATACACATTTTTATCCTGTAAACTTTTAAAGAATAAAATCTTTATTAAAATTAAGAAATAGCTGCCTTAAGCACATAGAACCATAGTTCATTTTTTTTTTTTTAAATCTTGAGAGCTATAGCCTATGAAAGTACAGGAAAGATATTGTCTTCATTTAATTAGTTTCTTCTAAACCAGAAAATTAACTTGGCATCAACAATGGGCAACCTAATTTCACCCCTACAAATGCATAAATGGCATCTACGTCTGAGAAGTTGAGATCTACTACTTCTAATATTTAGACAGATATGGTGAAAGCAATTAAGTTTATTAAGGCAGAATAATACTTCCTGTTTCAATAAGTATAATTTAAATGCAAAATGCGTTCTATGTTGGCAGAATAAAAAGGTACCCACCATATTTAACAACTATATTCAAATGATACAAGAAACTTGCCTCTTCCTTTGGAAGACAGGTAAAGCTAGAAGAGTATGCCACTCATAATTTTAAAAGATAATAAAATGTGATAATTAGAGCTTGACTGACAGCGTGGACTTTGAAAAGTTAAGTTTTCTAAATGCTTGAGTAAGATATTCACTAAATGTTTATTTTCTTTAATTGGCAAATAGAAGATCTTAGCTGAGTACAGAGACTACATTTAGTTGTGACACAATACATTCTGTTACCAGTTGATGAGATACCTTTTCTTGTTTGGAAAAGTCACTGGAAACTACAAAACAAGATTTTAGTAATCTTTATGTAAATTTAAAATAGGTGTTTAAAATCACCAAGTTACATAAAACCAACATTTCCAGTCTTGCCCTTAAAAACACACATTATTTTAAAAAATCCTCAGAGTATTACGAGTCTCGCTTTCAATGTATTTGTAACAAAAATTATCTACCCTTCTGGATAAATCAAATCCATGTGATTACCTTCCCATTGGCTCTATTGATCTTATTGACAACTTCTGCAATAATGATCTTTTCATCCACGGCATCTTTGAGCTTTTTGTACTTGGGGTTCTCGCTGATCTCCAGGTAAGCCCCTTGGAAGGGCTGCCCAACACTGCAAAGGAAACATGAGTTCTCCATGAACCTCAGGCAAGAAGCAAACCTGACACCAGCACAGCCTTCATGAGGAGATGCACCAAATATCATTTTCAGTGATGGTCAGTGAAGAGAAAGTTATCACCAAACACAGAAGAGGATGGGGTTTTTCCTTGCTCTGGAAGCATTTTCCAATTAAATGGGGCCCATTGCTTTGGATATCAGACACACAAACATCCTTGAAAATGCAGTCAACCGCGATTTGAAATCACCCAGTGAGAGTCTGTGAAAGCAGAAAATAAAACCCCAGAAGGACTGACACACTGTTGATGCCTACAGGCAGGACTTCAGTGACAGACATGAACTTGCCTTTGAGATCTGCTGTTGTTTGTGAAACACGCAGCAGCTCCTTGTCAGCATCTGCTGCTCTTGCAAATTCCCCCATCTTTACACACCTCAGGGTGCTCAAATAAGGGCTCCACTACAGACCAGATGAATTGTCACTGCTTGCTTTGTTTGGAAGTCACTTTAAAAACGGTGATTTAACCTCAGTCAAAGCATTAATGCAAAGCTTTGCCAAGACTGGAGCCCAGGAGAAACCAATGCCCTGTGTGGAACAGCAGTGCCTTTGCCATTGTATCTCTGGCACACAGGGATGGGAAAGAAGAGGAAGGATACTGGAATTTTAGTGCCCACAAGTCCCTCTTTCTCCTTAAATAATTATACTACAGACAGAAAATTAGCCACATCCTATGAACCATTATCATACTAATTAATCAGAAACTTTATACAGTAATTTTCTCTACCCTCAGGCGCATTTAAAAAAAAACAACAAAACAACAGTAGGAGCTAATCAGCTCTGAATACCAGACAAAAAGAGATGGAAATGTTTCTAAATGAATGCAGGGCAGGGAAAGCATTCCAACTTTCCACCATGTTGGAGCTTTGGGGTTTTCTGGTTTTTATTAATTAGCAGTATGAAACCATAGTCAGCAAAACAGTAGATTCCATGTGGACTTCATACCTGATCAAATGATGACAAGTCATAGCTAAAACTCAAATGAATCAACAGTTCCCCTATCACAAATACCACTTAAGAATGTCTTGGATAAAAATGACTCTCATATATATACATATATATAAATATACATATATTTTCAAATATATATGTGTGTGTGTGTGTGTGTATATTTTGCTGTAGGTTATTTCATTGTTCAGCCTTGGAGTAAAAAGTACCAAACCAGGGGTAAAAATAGAATTCCTTCCTTTCCAAGGAGCTCTATGCTGAGCAGATGCATACTGACTAAAACCTTAAAAAACCTGCTTGCTCATAGGAAAGTCCAAAGGCACCATCTTTCTCTTTTCCCAGCAGCACAAAAAGACATCCCAAAGCAAATAAGGGACAAACCACAAGCTAGCATATACAGCCATTAAGTGAGTGATCTACTGAAGGGGAAAAAAAGAGAAATGTACACTGAGCCCATTACAGGAAAACAGGAAATGTCTCAATAAAAAAAATGACACCAAACCAAGGAAACACACAAACAGCAAGCAGAGCATGGAACTGTTCCCATAAACTCTTGCAGATTCCTGTTCCTCCCTCTACTGAACCTTGCTTCTCATTCTATTTGTTCCTGCTCAGCTCAAACTACAGCTTCTAAGAGAAAATTCTCTTGAGATGGACAAGATAGTTGTTTTCAAGAAAAAACACAATTTATAAGCTTGTATTCACTTTAAAAAGTGTAAACCAAGGGCATCATATCTCTCTTTTGTCAGTTTTACTGCATACCAAAAGAAGTGTATTCCTTAAATAAAATTGGATACTACTGCACTGTCTTGAATAATGTTGGCTCTGTAGATAGCATTGACAAGAATCTGTCAGTTTTAAAGAACACAATAATCTGAGAAACCAAAAAAGATATTTGCAGAGATTTCAGATTATTATAAGAAAAAAAAGAAAAAATATTCTGAAATGGAAATAGGAATTTAAGTATCTTTACAAAAAGATATGTACCAATGTATCTGACCCTTAAATTACCCAGTCTTCACCTTAAGTTTGTACAGGAGAGCTCTCCGGTACAGCTCACCTGGGTGTGAGTGACATTTGTCACATAGAGCCTTCCTGAGCTCACTCTGCCTTTATTATTGTAGGAAACAGCCTGATGGGAATGAGGGGAAAGGGTGAAAACTCTTCCCACCTGTAAGTTCCCCAAACTTGTAAGGCATAAGTGGGTCAAGGAAGGTTAGAACAAACCAACCAGGGATTTTGGACAGAAGTTCTTGCTATCACAGGACTGGTGGCTGTAACAACATCTAAGTTTGCTTCTAACTGAGGTCAATTTTCAGGATGGTGAAGGCAAATGATGGAGAGATGTTGTCAAACAAGGAAAATGCACTTTCCTGCTTAAGATAAAAAGCAAAATCTTGCTTAGTTTCCCAAGTCTGTGTAAGGATGTTGAATTTCTTGTACACTAAAAGTAGCAGAATCCGTCATTACCTGGCTGGATATAAAGCCTTCTTGTCCTTGAAAAGTTCACTTGCTTCCAGTTTTTCTTCATATATAAGCTTTTGCTGATCTGTGAACTGATCTCTGTACTTTTTACACTACAAAACAGGATATATTAAACAAACCATAAAATTATCTTTCCCAATCTCACAGCACCACAGACTAATGTTTGCTCATTGCTCAAGATGCACATTCTTTGTATGCTTCTGAAATGATTCAGCTCCATCCTACGTGCCACTGATAACAAACAGGAGAGGTGTTTTTCTCCTTACCCATTCTAGATACTTTTAAATTACACTAGAAACAATATATAAAACATCTTCTGTAAGTATGAACATGAGCTTAACACCTATGAGACACCAATCATTGGAAGAGTGTGCTAAAAAGATTCACAAAAAAGATAAATACAGTTCCACAATTTTGGAAGTTTATGTAGGCAGAGAGGAAGAAAAAGACACAGCTGAGAGGGAGAGTTTTGCAGGCTCAGAAAGAAAAACTGTTCCTTGACAATTCACAGAAAACACAGCCCACAAGATCAGTAAAACATCCCATCAGCACTTGTACAGATTCTCGCCGTTCTCTCCATCCAAAGATCCAAAACAAATTTCAGCTAACCACAGCTCATAAGTAAAAAATTCCACCCAGCACTTCCAGCATTGGTCTAAGTGCTGGCCATGGACACAAGTATTACAAGCTATTAATTAACAGGCTTCCTGATGGCAGGAAGCAAACCTCTCTGCCTAGCCCCAGAAAGGAGTAGCCAGGATAGTTATATCCCTTGCAGGCCAAAGGCAATGATCAAAAAACCTACTCCTTTCCAAAGAAATAAAATTATCCTGGCTGGAATCGAAGGAAACACATCCTAAAAATAGACCCTTTATGAACAATACTGTTAAAAATCATGGGAAGAAGTTCTGCACAGACTGGACCAGAATGTGTCCTACCCTCCACAAATGGAAAATCCTCTTTAGTTCCTTGTGAGTTGAATCCAAGAACAGGTAAGGCCTTGCTGGCCAGTTTTTATCTATTGGTGATAAAGAAGGCATCTTATTCTTCATTTCCAAGAAGTATTTTTGCATCTGTGACAAAATTGAAGCAAGATGTTTTATTAACGTTCAAATATCAGGGTTATTGAAGTAGGCAAGGAAAAGCAGATGCTCTGTGATTAAAAAGCACAGTTACCAAACTGCAACTCTCAGCTCTCATAAACCAGAATATAGATTTTTAAAGCCAGGTATATTGAGAAACACAGATTTAGGTATCACAGAAGTGTGGAAAATACTTAGTACCATTCCTACACCTCCAAACATTACCATTACCCTTTCTTTACAATATAAGAATGTTAATTTGTCACTTTTCCATGTGCTTGGACATTTCCTTACAAAGGCTATCATAACACAACTGTGACATTTGATAGAAAATAAAAACTTAAAACACAGGAATGTACATGTACTTTGTACAGATATATACATACAAGTCTCTGAAGGGTAAATTCATAAATTTTTCTTCCAGCATTGGCTCTGAAGAATTTCCTGTATTCTCTACGGACCTGGAAAGTTAAACAAACCCTCAAAATGAATATAAAGAATGTGTTTGTTTGCACAGGTACTTTTTCAACAAGCTCTATGGTAGAAGACATTAAAACAAGCATATGTACATGCAAAGGGTTCCCTGAAACAGGAACATCACCTGGTCACACTTAAATTATGTGAACCAGACCATGGACCACGATGTCTGAAAGATACCTCGGCTGACCTGAGTGCAATTATTTGCAAACTTATCAAGGAATTTGAAATGCTTCCTTCCAAAAAGCTAAATTATTCAAATACTGTCAAATTCACAGCATGAATCTGTTTTCAATAGGCTTTTGCATAAAGCTGGACTGGAAAAAGTGAGGCATCACCAGTGATGATACAATTTTCTTGTGTCTGGAGTGACACTTATTTGATGTTAATTACAGAGTTAACTGTTGACTTTTTTAGATTTTTCCTCTTTAAAATTTTTAATACACAGAGTTTGCTATAACAAAAAGGGTGGTTTTTTTTGTTTTTTTTTCAGAGCAGACTTCTGCATGAAAAAATTCTTTTCACACAGGCAGTCTTCATTCCAAAAGAAAAATAAGATTTTGGTGCTCGGTAAGAGCAGAGAATCAACACAAAGGTTGCTTAATGTCAGCAAGCTTGATATTTGCTCCCAAAATTTATTTGCAAAATAATAAAATTTTAAAAAAACTTGAAAAAGTAATCATCATAATTTTTTCAGGCGATATTAATTTTTAATACATACTTGGAAGTGCAAGTTTTAGAGTACTTGTTTCGCCTTTTGTATTTCTATCAGTGCTAATTAGCATAGACCAAAATTCAGAAAAGGCAATTAGGGAGAACCCAACTGGTTTGCAGTTTTATATGACACCCAGGCTCACCTCAAGTCAGCTGAAACATCCCTCAAATTTTTTTGCAAACTCTGGCACAGCCTGCAACACACCTGTTATGGGTTTTGGGCAAAACCCAGGGAAAACATCGTGGCTTTGCATAATTTACCCCAGAGCAAAATTTAGTGGTTTTAGTTAACTCACTAAATGTTGCTGGCTTCTCTGTAATCAGAATACAAAGTGAAACCCATAGCATAAAATCCCCTTTAACCCATAGCATAAAACCCTTTCTGCCCCATAGTAATTCATGCATTTCAAGATAAACCAGCATTCAGAAAGCAAAAATCTGTCACCATTTGTGGACAAATACCCAAAGGTAAACAGATTTTGCTTAATTACACATTAAGATGCACCAACAAAACTGGCAACATTCAGCTGTTGTCATTCCATGCAAATTCAGCGCATATTTTTTTCCTCATCACTTTATAAGAAAAAAAATATCAGAGTTCTTATTCACTCATTTTCTGCAAGGCTTAGTGCTCTATAATTAGAGTACATCCTTTATTAATTATTCAGGGATGATAATTAACACACTCAAAGCCACTCCAACCACAATCATCCCAAATCTCACCATTGATTCTCCTTAATGATCTTGCTTTATATTATTCTTTGCGAGCTGCAAGGTGTGCAAATTAATTTGGAAGAAAGGGACTAATAGACACCCACACATCCTATTGGTGCTGCAGGGAAGCTGCAAAGCAAGCACTGAGAAATGCAAGCTGCTCCAGAAAAGCCTGAATTTGGAAAGTACCACAAATGCTATTAAAATCTACTTGGCATACAATTAAAAAAAAAACAAAACAACAAAACAAACCAACAAAAACTAAACTAAATCCTCACAACTTATTGGTTTAATCTTCATTGCTTTTATCAATTTTAATTCTTCAGCCTCACATGTCATGGGTGAAATACTTTTGCCTTCAAACTACCTGTGGTAACAGTGATAGATTGGAATGACAGACTACAGTCTTATTCAGAAAAATCTGTGTATTTTAGGTGAGATGGAAATTGGAAATGTAGCTTACACTATTTAACAAACTCCCTGAAAACCACAGACTGCAGAAATGTATTCCTGCTGTAATGTGCCTTAAAGGTTTTGGAGTCATCAGCTTGCATTTAAATGCTGCTGTTTGATATAAAACTGCCTCTGAGTTCTCAGGAGGGACATATTCTTGTTTTAAAATCATAAAAACAGACCTACTTTGGCAGTAGTACGCAAAGTGTGATTCTGATCTGCAGAATGACTTCTTAAAATGGCTCCTTTGTATTTTCCAGCTCTGTTTTCCATGAATGTATTGCAATGGATTTTTTTAAATATAAATGAACATATATTTTATATAATTATATGTTTTCTAACTATTTTTCCCATTTCATCACTGTCAAGGTAAGTACAAGAATATGAGACCTGAACTTTACTCTGCATTGTCAAGTGAATTGCTCCTTTTATACCTCTGTAGTCTACAATATCCCTATTAGCAGAAGTCACTCTCAGCCAAACCAAACAGATTCAGATTTCCGCAGTTCTTCAGAACTGCATCTGTAAAACTCTTATGTAAATCATTTGGGCACAGACCTGAAACATCTGAAGATGCCATTTTCATAGTCTATTTACAGAGCAGAACTACATTTTTCCAGATTACAGATGTGTTTTCTTTTGCCAACCAGTCCTTGAAAGCAAGGGATGGAAAACAAAACACTTTTGTGCATCTCAATTTTTCTAGGAATCCATGGCTGTCACAAGCCACAGGTAGCTGTGTGCAATGCCAGGCCCTAAAAAGGCTGCTGGATGCAACAGGACATGACCACTGGCTTTACACCCTGCCCTCCTCAACACTGGGATCAGGGCTGTACTGAGAGTCAGACACTTCCACCCTACTTCCCATTCTAACAAGCAGAGGTCACAACAAGAAAATACATCCTTGTAATCTTTCCAGATAGGACCTTTGCCAAGGTAGGTCAGTTTTTGAAGTCAACAACTGTAATAGAGTCCCTTTAATCTGATTTTTGTCTTCCTGCGATTCCTGATATGACAAAAAACCCCCATGCCTCAGTGCTGCTGTAAGCGAGGCAATTTCAGCTCACGACTTTTTCAGCCAAGTCCGTGACCAAGTCAAACAACGTGTAAAAAAACCACCCCCTTCTAGCGAGCCCACACAACTGCTTGTTTGTTAAGTGTTAGTAAGGTGTGCCACGCTTCGCCGAGTTCACGTTGACAGACGGGAGCGTCGGAGAAAGTACCTTCAGTCCAAGCCAGAAAGCCCAAATGACTGCCACAGCATGCTTACGCCTAGCCTCCTCCTTCAAGCGTTTCAACTCCCTCCGAGCCTAAAAGGTTCAGAGAGTGAGCAAAGGAGACAGCCCGGAGCGGACAGCGCGGAATGCCGCTCCCACCACCGGCAGGGAAAGGGACGAGGAGCAGCGCTCGGCCTGCCGCGCCCAACGCCGCCTGGGCCGCTGCAGATCGGCCCCAAAAAGGCTCCACTGCTGCTGACGTGGCATGCACAGGGGGGAATTCTGTCCTTCAGCCCTGTTATTCTCTGTCAGCCCTTCCTCCTCCTCCTCTGTGCACACCTCGCGTAAGCTGGTTCTGATGGGAGGGCTTTGCCTGCAGTTCTACGATCAAAATGATGCATATAAAAATCAAGACTTACTAAGATCTCACTGTCTAGTCACTTCTTCCACTGGCAAGTGCCTGGGCAGGACAGAATCAGCTCTGAAACTACATGTCATGGTGACTTTTCAGCATTGTAATGATGGATATAAAAATCAAGACTAAGATCTCACTATCTAGTCACTTCTTCCACTGGCAAGTGCCTGGGCAGGACAGAATCAGCTCTGAAACTACATGTCATGGTGACTTTTCAGCATTGTAATGAGGGCTTTTGTTCTGGAGGTTATTTTTTATTTTTATCTTTATGTATTTAAGAAAAAAAAAATTCTCCAGCCTGTTAAAATGCTGTTTGTCTGTGGGATTAAGAGGTAAAGCCATCAAACCTAGTGCATTCCTCATGTACAAAGAAATAGGCACCTTCCTACCTTTCATCAATCATTCCATTTTAGGAAAGCAATTTGAGGCATGTGTGGGCAACTTAACAGAATGTCGCATTTTAGGAGATACCAGCACATTTTTTGTTCAGTTATCTGATGAAAACACTCAAGGCAGAGTTCCAGTATTACAGGCTCAGTCAGAGCAGCTCTAGCCCTGTATCTGCACTTGTCAAGCTGTAAGTTATCAGACCTGTGCAGCAGCAGCTCCAGCCTGTGCCAGTAATGCTCTTCTGGTGCAGCTGGAAAGGTTAATGTGCAGTAGATGTAGACTCTGAGATTATGTTTTCACTCATCTGCTTGGCAGAAAAGCTCCTACTGCACAGCAATGTAAAAGCAAGAGCTATGCAAAGCAAATATTTGCCTATCTTGTGTGAAGGAAGGAAACTGAGTACTTGAGGCTTACTCTTGTTTTATTTTTGTTTGTTTGTGGGGTTTTTTTGCTAAAGCAAGAGACTTCTGATGATAACTTTAAAAATTTTTTTCCCCCAGGAAAAGTTAAAAGATCACATCAATAAAAAGTTGTCTCTCTTATCAGAGACTGTAATTATTTTTCTAATCTTAATTCAATTTAGATTATCATCTTTCTATTAATATATATTGTTATATTTATATTATTTCTATTTAAGGAATAAAGAGACAATTTTTCACTAAATTCCTGTGAGCCAGTTGATAAAAAGAACTATTGAACCATGTTAAAAGTTATCCAAATCTACTAAATATTTAAATGAGGAACTTTAACGTGGTTAACACTGTTGCACCCATTGGATGTATCTTATAATTCAAAGAAATATCTTAAAACTATGAAAACAAATATCTCTTCTGCAGTACTGAGGAATATTTTCATGAAAGGAACTCTGGTTAAAAACAAAAATTCTCAATGTATTGTGCTTAATCAAATGTAGAGGAAACTGTGTCTGTCAAATTATACCATTATCTAAATAGCAAGCTAGAACTGAAAAGTTCCAAATTCTCCCTAGTACGAAGGAAATTCTGTACATGTTTTTTGGATTCCCAGGGCTGCCATTTTGCTGAAAATTGAATAGATTTATACCAAAATAGCAAAGGTTAAACACAGCATTATACTCCAGATGTAATTTGAGCACATTTCTCTATCCAGTTGGCAAGGTGTTCTAACAACATACCCACAACATAAATAACAACTGAAAAATGTTTTAAATCTAATGTATTTATGGTTTTCAACTAAATTAGGAATTTATTAATTGAAGCCAATATATTTTTGACCTCTAGTGAACAGCATTTCAAATGTTCACATAACCCACAACTACAGGCTGGGGATTAGCAAGAATCTTTCAGTGGGACTTTGCTTCTGAAAACAAACAGCTGATGCTGAAATTCCTGGGATTTTTCTAGAGCTGTAAGTTTAGAATTGCAAACTAACATCATTTTCTGCTAAAAGATCAGCTCATAGAATTTTGCTTTACTTTTGGTTATTGAATTTTCTTTACTGGTTCAAATCACAGCCAGAGAATCAATTAAACCAATCATAGAATTTAATGAAACTTAATAATGTTGGTTTGAACTTGTAGATGAAGACTGCCCAGGGTACAGATTATAATATGTGGTAAAAATCTCAACTGAATCACTAACACAGTATCACTGAAAGCACTTGTTGGGGGCATGGGGAGGAACACACCAAAAACCCCCAACCTTCTCTCCCCCCACAAACCACACTTTGCATATTTACATGTAGTTAAATGCATTTCCTAATTTGAGATTACTGCAGTCCAGTCTTTTTAATCTAGTCTAATGGCTTGTTAGTGCAAATCTGTACTTGGTTGCCATGCAAAGTATTTCCTACTCTACAAAAAACTGGCATACACAATGCTATCAGATTTATTAGGTGTGGCATGAATGGAGATGGAAGGAATCGATGATCATGCTCTATTATATAAGAGTGAATTGTATTAGTCATTAATTCTCACTATGAAATAGTGATTAAATGCTGATGTTGTTGAGAAATGAAGTTGAGTGATGTGATATGTGCATGAAGTACCTTATATCCAAGCCAGAAAGCCCAAATAACAGCAATAGCATGTTTATTTCTAGCCTCGTCTTTCAGTCGTCTCAGTTCCCTTCGTGCCTGTGATGCATTTGAAAAGGGGATATAGAAAAGCTTAGGAAAGAAAAGGTTACTGCAAGTTCCCATTGGTGCAAGAAAGCAAGCAAGTAACCAGTCACTACAAACAGCAAAAATTAAAGCGTGTCCCAGCTTCCCAGATTGCACCAGCTACGACATGTTAGCAGCAAAGAGAAACCAAAAATCACCAGTTTAAGCAGTCAAAGCAGTTTAAGGCACTGACAGTACTCCCAGACAACTATCCTGAGGGACATCCTTCTTCATTCCACGTAGGGACACACAGTTGCACAGTCTGTTGCCTTTTTCTTACCTGGGTACCATGCCAATAAGCAGCAATTACTGTGGCAGCCTCATTGCAGCGCTTCAGGTGCTTCAGCTCCCGAAGAAGCTTCCGAGCCTGCAAACAATTTAAAATGTTCTTTTTGACTGAGCAACTTTTCATATTTTTGAAGTAGGGCACTTGTAAATCTAGGCAAAACCAAAAAACCACTGCTTCCAAATCCCCAAGCAAATACATTCACAAATGCTGCCCAGCCTAAAATTTGCTGCTCCAGGGAGGATTCTGTGCTGCAAGACTGGGACTGGCAGGTTAGGGGATCTTAGCTCAATGCTCAATTTTCTCCCAGATTTGCTGCATTACCTGAGATATTTATATGTCTATTTGCACAATGGCAACAATATTTTTTCTCCATACAGTAAATGTCTAATCCATTTAGAGTGCAATAAAGAATAAATGACAAGTAAATTGCCTGGCTTTAGGTCACACTAAAGGCTGCTGTCATACCAGGCTTTCATGCACAACGCTACTGCAAAAGAGCTTGTTCTCCAATGGCAAACAGAAAACCATAACTTGAGATGATGCTTTTAACCCAATTTTCTTCAAATAATGCTCACGGGAGAAGACAGCACATCAATAGTCAGACTGAAAGGATATTTTTAACTCATTTAAACAAAATCATAAAGACAAAGTAAAAATCCAGAGAAACAGCAAAATCAAATCATGTTACCTTATTGCTGGCAAACTTTAAAGCCTTCTGGGCAGGAGAGACTATTTACACCAATAGCTACTCACTGCAGCCCCTTCCTTCCCTGTCTGACAGAAAGGGAACTGACTCCAGAACTAAGGCACATCTCTCTTCTCTAACTAGAGGGGAAAGCCACCTTCAGCAGGGAGAAGAAAGGTTAATAAGAAAATAGAGGAGCCCAGGGTTGGTTTTTCTGAAGATGGACAGGAGTAGTTGCTTTGAGCATCATGGCTGCTTTCATGTGAGCTGTTAATCTCATTTTTACCTCCTATTAAAACAATATTCCTTAAATATCTACTACAATGCATGATTATCCCTTCACAAAGTACAAACCTCTCAGAGAAGAAGTGAAGTTGTGGCAAACTGAGGCAGAGTACAAGCCCACAGCAATAAACTACTTTCTCAGCACAAGTACACTTTCACTCCTCTGCTTAGCAGACAGAGGAGAATTGAAGATTTAACCCAAGTCACAAATTGCCCAGGCAACCCAAACTCTTTATTTTAATCCTGCTTTCAATCTCATTCATTCTTTGAGAATCCCATTAAGCATAAAATAACTGAAAACCACAACTTGTTTCTTCCAAGTCAGTTCAGCGCTACCATTTTCCTAAGGCCAGTGGCAGAGCCCCAGAGCATCCTTCTCTGGAGCTGCTGACCTTCTCAATTCCTTGGCAGAAGATGCCTCAAGGGTAACCCAGTGGTTTAGTGTGGTCCCAGCATTCCACTTGCACCGTTTGCAGGGATTTATAGCCCAGGCAGCACATGCAGGTATCCTGAACTCACCTCTTCCACAGCAAACACGAGTGTTTAACAATGGCCATGGCACAGCCACAGCTCCAGGGAGAGAAGGTGTGACAGGCAGGAGGCTCAGGGCACTTGGAAAGTGTTTTCTGACCTGCTCCTTACCTCTCCAAACAGAGACAGCTGCAGTAACAGGAAACTCACCTTCCACCCTCTGATGTACGACTGTACTGTGATAGCCGAACTCTTTATCTTCTGGTATTTTTTTTGTTGCTGTGTTGGGAATAAGTATGTGATGTTTAGAACAGAACATTATGTCTGTTAAACACTGCATAATAAACCTTTCATTACTAACATTTGGCAATATGCGTGAGGAGACAAGCACTAAATGTAAAAAGTGAACAATTTCTGACTGAGCAGATCAGAGTGCAGATTCTGTGTTCAACTCAAGGGGGAACAAAGCACATCAACAATGCTGCATGGACAATGTCACTCTGTTTACAGAAACACTAAGTTCATGGTCAGCAGCACAATTGCACATTAAATGCTAACAGTAAAAGCTTTATTTGTCTTTCCCACCACCAGAGTAGCAGACAAACTGTCACACACTCAGGTTTGTAGGCTAAGCTTTTTACCACCTTTTCATAAGACATGTGCTGTTCCTATTACTCACAATGCCTTTATTATGGCTGATGATAACTTAGGAAGAGCAAAAAAACCAAAAGCATGGCCTTCTGAATGAGATGCTGGAGTACTACTTAAATGTGCCAGGCTGAACAATAAATTTCCTGGACAGCTGAGCATTTTCCTTCTAAAAAGTTCAGTTCTCCAGTAGCCCAGTGTTTAGTATAATACTAAATTAACAGACTTTGCAATAGGGCTTTTAGACTTGACATTCAGCCCTCCCAGTGACAGTGAAAATCTCTGTGAGCAAGCTGGAGAGGGTCCCTGTGGGCCACCCTCATGCCACAGCTGCTGTCTGTCTGTCATGCCCTGCAAGGGGACAGACAAGTGCCTGCAGATCCTCGAGTTACTCCAAAAGCTTTATTCATTCCAGGGATTTCCCATGAAACCTTCAAGGCACAGTGCCTACCAGTCATGTTGGGTTAGGAGAGCGGTGCTTCCATCCATGTGAAGAGGCTGAGGAAACTTTATTTTACTGGTCTCTATCATCACCAATAAAACAACTGCTGCCATGTTTCACCAGTGACCCAATAAAGGCTTACAGTTAAGAAATCAGTTCTTGGTCGTGTATTTGTTTTCATTTCTTTATATTTAAAGCTGTGCCAATCTAGCCACAGTAAGTCATTTTAAATTCATTAAGATTGCGTTAGATCATAATGAACTACAGGGGCACAATGCAATTCTGTAATGATGCTGTTTGTAGGAACGGGGCTTTCAGTCACACAAAGTCAGAGAGAAGAGCTTTTACAGTCAAGAAGCATGCTTCAGCCATACTTTTTCCAAATGACCTATACTTCCCTCTAATTATCCAACAGAAGTGAACCAAACACTGATGGCTTTCAAGAGGATGCAGTAAGTCCATTTCAAATTCATTAAGATTGCGTGAGATCATAATGAAGCCACATGGGCACAATGCAATCCTGTAATGATGCTGTTTGTAGGAACGGGGCTTTCAGTCACACAAAGTCAGAGAGAAGAGCTTTTACAGTCAAGAGGCACGTTTCAGCCATACTTTTTCCAAATGATCTATACTTCCCTTTAATTATCCAAGAGAAGTGAACCAAACACTGATGGCTTTCAAGAGGACAAGCAGAAGTGCTTGTCAAGTAAAAAACAGGGATTTGCCAACTCTGCCACTTGTAGTTTAAGAAGACTTTCTTTCTGTGTTTCATCAAGGTTTCTGAGGCACGTTTCAGCCATACTTTTTCCAAATGATCTATACTTCCCTTTAATTATCCAAGAGAAGTGAACCAAACACTGATGGCTTTCAAGAGGACAAACAGAAGTGCTTGTCAACTGAAAAATGGGGATTTGTCAACTCTGCCACTTGCAGTTTAAGATTTTCTTTCTGTGTTTCATCAAGGTTTCTGATATGCTTGTGCTGTTCTCTAGCAACAACAAAATGCAACTGAGAAGTTCAAGAGTGGCTTTAAAAACAAATAAATCTTTTTTATCAGTCAGTAAGTCAGTATTATTCACTAACTGCCAAGAAAACATGGAAGAGTCGTGTATTAGTGCTGTTAAGTTTGTGGCACAGAACACCCAGTCCACACATAGAACTGAAACTGCTTTAGGATGAACAGTATCAATAATGATACCAAATTACAAGTCTTAGGAGTTACAATTAAAATAATCCCCTACAGGCAGCATTTTTGAGACTAAGGCAAGTGTTCCAAATAAGGCAAAACCACAAAAAGGCTTAGGAATGACTGAATTCCACAGAACTGCACACGTATATTACTGAACATTTTTTACACATTAACCATATGTTTTGAGAGTGCTGCAAATGTTGGGAAGCACAGCATTTTAGCTGAATGAAAAAGACTCTACCCAGATGAGCCAAAGAATCTTGCTCTCCCAGAGTGAAAGGATTCTGGTGAGCTTTTTAATTTTTTAAAAACGAGCACAGTGTAAGCACTTAACAGTAGTCTACACAAACTAAATTTTCTTTATTCCCCCTATTGCTACATAAGTATTAAAACAAAATTGAATTCTTTCAACAGCTATCTGTGCATATTGAGGAAAAATATCCCATGAAGGTTATATGCATTAAACAATGAAGAAAACCCCCCATGTAGTAAGGATGGTATCTTACTGAGTATCTCCTGTACCAGGAAGCGATCACAACCTGGCATTTTTTCATTAACAAGAAGCGAGTACGGCACTTCCAACCTCTGTAAATCTTCTCAATCAGAGTAGCCAAGTCCTCCAGACGCTGCTTTCTCAGGTCTTCTAGTTTGAAAAGCTGGGTGTGGGGGTTTTCAGGGTTTTGTTTGACATTGGAAGAAAAACAGCAGGAGAGAAGAGACAAGGAAAAAAACCCATAAGCACAGCTCTTGTAAGAGAAATCTCTTTACTGAAGTCCCCCCTCAGTCACACGTTTTATTCATCTCCCGAGCTACAGGCAGGTACACCAAGAAGATTTGTGGCAGATACAATGTCACAAGTCACTGCTCAAAAGTTATATTAAATTAAAGCTGACAGCTATTGTAGAATCTTGATTCATGTTGATTTTAATGGGCCTAACATTAAAAATCACCTTTTTTTTATGCTATGGTCATAGCAATACATCAAAGCACTGCATGGAGACAAATCTCTAGAAGCAGGCAGTGAATGATGCTGTCCTCATGAGAGAGGGCTTGATTTTGCAGAAGGCATTTTGCACTTACTGTTCTTGGGTTGCGGATGAATATCTTTGATCTACCGAATGAAAATTCCTCTTCAGGGATTCCCAGTTCATTAAACAGCACCTCTACTCCAGCCCTAAGAAGGAGTAAATGAGCTTAACAAACATGACCCCCAGCTGTAAAACGTCTTAGTTTACATATTCACAGCTTAATTTATGGAAGGTATATGAAAGCATATTTTAAACTCTTAAGTGCTTGACATAAGAAGATTCAAAACCTAACTCATTTACTCAGTGGTTTATTCTGCTAAAGGCAAGAATAATCACTGTAAAAATTCAGAATAATTTGATAAAAAAAGACGAAATTTTATTTTACAGCATCAGCAACGGCCTATTTTTTCCTCTTACATCTATAATTATTTTACTTAAAAACAGAAGAGAGGAAAAAGCAAGGGCTGACACTAATGTCAGAATGTGAAACAAAGACTGACGAGTTTGACAAATGCCAGCGTTCCATTCTCATCAAATGCATTTTATGAACACCAACAGAAAAAAGGGAAGTGGAACTGTGCAGATCTTCCTGATGATTATTGCAATGCTATTGTTTCCAACATTGCACTGCCACCATTGTCTTGATAACCTAAAGAATTATATTGTAGGTAAAAGATGTTAATCAACTATGAAAGATATTTAAATATTGTTTTTGGTGGCCACATGTAAAAAGAAATAATAGAAGCTTATTTACCCATCCCAGGTATTATTTGCAAAAAATAAAATGTGGATAAAATGTGAACACTATGTAATTTTAAAGTGTGTATTTAATATAATTGATTTGCAAGAGGCATTATCTCATAATCGTTCCCCAATCATTATGTAAAGTTATTCCTGAAAAGGCAGAGGAAGATTGCATGGCTGTCTTCAACAAAATGAGTGTCCTTACACTTTGAAAGCTGGTCATTAAAGATCAGTGCCCTCCTGATCATTGCAACCCTCCCATTTATTTTGAATCCACTGCAGCATCTCCAAATCTGAGAGATGTAATGCCTGCACTGTATTCCTTTCACAACGCATGCACAACAACTCAAAGCTTGCGACACGTGGAAGATGGGAATTTCCCTGGGGACAGGTAGGAATATTGCTGTCTGCCTACCTGGCTGGCCCTCTCCAGTGGGGCCAGGTCTGCTTGCAGAGCATCTTGTACCTCTCCAGGCAGGGCTCGTAGGGCTGCCGGAAGGCGTAGCCCGCCCGCCGCACCCGCACGTTCTCCAGGAGCCCCAGGTAGCGGATCTGGTGGCACACCAGGGCTTCGTTGAAAATGTGTGCAGCCTTTTTGTCATTGGGCTTGATGCACCTGCACAGGAGAACCAAAAGGGACATCTCTTTGCACTATACCTGCCAACAGCTATTATGCTAAGTTTAAACCATACATTTCAACAGCTTATCCTTGGACACCAAGATTTTTTTTTTGTTTTTTATAACCTCATCAAACAAATTGACCAAATCTTTGGCACTGGGGAATTTACCTGATGTAGTTTGGATTTTTTGTCTGGAGATTTTTCATCAGGGTAGCAACTGAAGCCTTGAACTGCGAACCTGCTGTTGGTGGTCTCTTCAGATTGATCTTGGCAGGGTTTCCCTCTGGGAACAATGCTTTGATAAGGGAGTGGTTGGCCTTCCACATGGCCTGGGAGAGGTCACGGTACAGCAGATCATTATTTTTGTCAACAAATCCTTCCACCTGGTACATCACCTGAACAACAGAGAAGAGTCTCATTAGCGCAGGTTTTGAACTACAACATAGACCAGTTCAAAACTGACCCAAGAAATTGATTTCTCCTCCTTACACGCTGTCCAAAAGAACCGAAGGATATTTCAGCTTTCATTTTAAATCTGACATTTGGACAGCTTTTTGTTGGATAAAATGTCTGTGAACGTGCTACCTGGGAAAAATGCATTTTCTCATGCTGCCAACAGTTCCCTGTGTCAATCAATTCTGGTTTCTGAAGTGGAAGAAACCCTTTATCCATGATAACTCTGACACACCACCACCTGCCAAGACTCCAAAACAATCTCTTTTTTTCTGTCTGACGAGGTTTTTCTCCCTCTCTTTTGAACCAAAACAACAAAAATACCCTTTCCTTTCAAAGTACTAATGCTTACATTATTTGCCTAACTAAAACAAGATATGGAATATCACCTCTTGCTATCAGAGCGCAAGCAGCAAGCTGTGCAGCCCCCAGGGGACTGTTATTTTAAAGGACTTTTACCAGGAAAGCAGTCCAATAACAACAAGCACGAGCACAAAGCTCTGACCTGCAGCTGGGTACCCAGGAGGCAGCCAGAGGAACTTCATGCAGACCTCAGATTGCTACTGGCTTCTTTAATTTTTGAGGGTAGGAAACGTATTTGATTAATTGTGACAAGTCATCTGGCTGGCAATACAGATTCTTCTTCAGACCCATGATTTCTCAGTTCTGCATGGGTATGTGCTAAGTACACAGAATACTGAATGAAAATAGTACTGACACGTATTTTACACAACAGCAAGTTACTGGGAACTCAGAAGGCAGCATTTTGCTTTGGTGAACATGCTTGTGGTTCTGACAGGTGCAGTAAATGCCACTACTGAAAAAAAACAAACCAAAACCCAAAAAAACCAAAACCCACACTGTTCACATGAAATTACTTATATTTCTTAAAAGGAGGGTCAAACTTTTGTTGACCAGTGACAAGATCAAAATGTTCTCAGCTGAGGATGGAAAAACAACATTCCTCCCAAAATAGGAGGAATTCACTCAGTGAATGCCTGTAACAATCAAAGACCCTCAGTGCCTGCTAAGACACAATCTGTGCACAGTCCTTCTCACAGCATTGGGGTATTTTCAATTCACTTAGATTTTTGACAACCAAAGAAGTACCTAGGTATTAATCCCTGACAGATTATATGCAGTAACAAACTCTTCTTGACAACTAATTTGAAGGAAAGCCTGAAAGGTTCAAAGGCTGATATTTACAGGAGTATTTTGAATGAAAAAACTATTAAGCCATTCAAAATTGTAAGACTGAGAAAATTTCAAAAAGCATCAAGCAGTCCTAGGGAAATGAAACACTTTCCAAAGTGTTTCTTTACTATTGTGATATTATCACTTCAGCAGATTCAGACAAGAGGTATAATTTCAACCCTACATTTACTTTCAATTTTTAAAAAATAGATTGTCTTAAGTCTACAAATTTAATTATTGGATTTTCATTAATAAAAAGTCATAGTGGGTTACACACTGAAAGCTGTCAGACTTGCATTTATTCATACTGCTTATGTTCATAAATGCAAATACAAACATTTGTAAAATGCAAATGTTTGCAAGCCCTCTGCCTAGCTTTCTCTTCCATCTGTTTAAACACAGAGTATCAAACTCAGTTCCTTCAAATGTACAAAAACTGCATTTTCTCAACCATGTGACTAAGAACTGCAGCTAGCTCAGTGACAAAGGGCATGTTTTCCAAAATGTTACCAACAAATATGTGTGAATTTTTGTCACTGTGAGCAACTATTTATTTCCAGAGACCTAATGCAGCACCAAAGCACATGGGGCACCTTTCTCCTTTGATGAAAGGAGAACTGCTTTGATTTCAGCCAGAGCAGCAAGAGGATGTAGTGGCAGGACAAGGGGCAGGGGCTTCAGACTGACAGAGGGCAGGTTTAGGTTAGGCAGCAGGAAGAAATCCTTCCCTATGAGGGTGGTGAGGCTCTGGCACAGGCTGCCACAGAAGCTGTGGCTGCCCCATCCCTGGAAGCATCCAAGACCAGGCTGGATGGGGCTCTAGTGAAAGGTGTCTCTGCCCATAGCAGGGTTTGGAACTAAGTGACATTTAAGTTCATTTCAACCAAAACCATTCCAAAATCTCTTACAGCCTTCCAGCCCAAATCACAGATTTTAGGCTTAAGGCAGAAAAGACTAAGGTCTGGATTTTTGAAGCAGCTACACCAGCCCCCCACAGCCCAGGAGCTCCCTTCAGCAGGTACCTTGCCAGCATAGTGCTGAATCCTGAAGCAGCTGTGAGGCAGGGAGGTGTCATTGAGGAACCGGGAGCACTTGCTCATCCTGCTCTCGAAATGCTGGTGAGTGGCACAGACCTGGTTCAGTTTTTCTAAAAAGGTTTCATCGGTTACTGTCCCTGGTCTCAGGCATTCTTCATCCAGCATGGCCAGGATTCCAGTTTGGTTCTGAAGTTTCAAAGCAAGAGCTTTAGTACTTGTTTCCATCACAGCACAAAAAGGAGATAATTCACTTTTTCGACTTCTGCTACCCAGGAAAACATTCTTTGAGCCATCTCAAAGTTTGGCTCTTTTTACCTCATGACCATTTCCAACTGATTTTTAGCACTTGTATTTTTGAAAGCCTTTTTATGAGATCTGAATCCCAAAATTCACATTGAAACTTCGTGTCATTTACTCACAGTAGCAACTTCAACTCAACTGAAAGTATCTGATTTATGATAAAACCACAATGTATTTTATGTTAATGGTTAAAAACTGTTCTTTTGTGATTATTAAGGAATTTTATCTTTCTTACATTGGAAATCTTCTCAGTATATACAAGTACTATGAGTACCTCAAACAGTCAGTAACATGTAATTGAGTTTTCTAGTTACATATGAAAAGAAATGTTAATTACAGTGCAGCATGTGATATCTGCCACTGAAAACAGCCCTAAATGTAAACATTTAAGAGCTGTTTGATTTGTTATGGGTTTGTTTGGGGGTTTTTTTTGTGTAGGTACTGCTGAATATTTCTACAAAAGTAATTTTGTAGCTTATAAAAAAACTCTATGCATAATAATATGCATAATACATAATGCAAATAATAATAAAATGCATAATACAACAAGTGGCATGTTTCACAAAATTTAGTGCATGAGGATGCATACAGACGTTACACTTAAAATTAAATCTATGCATTAAAAATTATCCAGAGAGGTTCTTGAATACAACTTACATTTTCTATTAGGTCACAAATGATAGCATTGTTGAAATATTCAATATGAGTCCATTCAATCCCCTATAAGAAAATATAAATAAATGTATGAACAGGAAAACAATGGAGGGAGCTTTTCCTCTAAGCAATTAAATGACATTTCAGTTAACCATGGTACTGCATTCAAATTTAATTCCTCACGCTTACCAACAATTCTTTTATTAGGAAAAAAAAAATGCAATCATCTACTACTAACATTATCTGCACAAAATGAGTGTCCTTGAGTGGCTGCCAGAGTCACTCTCCATTCCTTTCCCCCACCCATGTCAGCTTCCCATGCACTCCCTGGCGCCAGGCCAGGCTCCTCCCGTGCTGCCCACGCTCCCACTGGCCACAAGGAAATCAGCCCATCACTGCAAGCTCCTGAGAGCAAATTTTCTAAGTTCTTCATGGTTGGGTTATTTTTTTTTTAAATAGGAGGAAGAAAGAGGGCTAAATTTAGATAAGGCCATTTGGAAAATCCAGAGTATGACAGTTGTTCAGATGTTCTTAGTATCTCAATTCTTTTTCAAACATCAGTGATAAAACTTCCAGGATGAGATGCCAATGCATCACGAGGTAGCACTGGTTGGGCAAAGGACTGAAAGGAGGAAAATATTAATTTCATTCTCAATTTGCGCTCTGTGGTACTTCTTACAGTTTATTTTTCTCAGAGCATTTGAAATATCATTCAAGAACCAAATTGCAGTAATGATGGTTCACCACTAAATGCAAAATTAAAAAGAGATGCTGAAATTTCACGTTATCCTCAGGATCATAAGGCAGGAACTTCATGTCATTTTTAAAAATGTTTATACAGCAAAATTGTATTATCCAGTTTGAGAACAGACAGTGTGTGCCAGTTTTTACAGCTGGGAGTTGGTATTTTGTCTGAGCTGTGTATCATGTGGAGCACTGCTAAAACCTATTAAAACTTTAGCTTGATGTTCACTCACAGAATAACATCAAGCACCAGAGGCTGGGCTCCACAGGACATCTCACATTTATCCATAAAGCTCACACACCTGAAAGAACACTAGAACCAAACTCTGTTTGCAGTTTCTTTCACGCTGTGTGCTATTATTTTAGCCACCCAATTGAAGGACTGGCTGTGGCTGCCTTTGGGTGCGTCCCAGACACGGCTGTATAATCCAAAACACAGGCTGCAGGGTGATGGTTCTAATACCAGAAAGTGATATTAGTATTCTAATAAATCAATTAGCCCTTGCTCAGAAGTGCCAGTCATGGTTGCCAACGAATGAATCAGAGCTGAGTCTGGTTTTACCTGGAGAACTCATAATGTGAAACAAATGCCAAACCAACATTTTTTTGCTTAATGTGAGTACCACACAGCCCCAAACAGGCTCCATGTCAGCCCTGTGGTCAAAAAGTGCCTCTGTTGCCTGAAAAATGGTTCCAGCCTGCCTGTGAGCCTTTACAAGGACAATGGGAGGAGGGTAAGGGAAGATCCATTCAAGTATTACCTCTCGGATGTATTCCTCCTGCTCTTCTTTGAGGGTAAGTTCAATGAAGATCTGCTGCAGCTTCTCATTACAATAGTTGATAATGAATTGCTCAAAGCTGTTGTCCTGTCAGATGAAACATGTTTGAGTTTGCTTTGTGTAAACAGCCAGGAGCCCAGCTGGAGTGAGTTACTGCAGCAGCTGCAGGTCAACAAGCCACTGTAATAACTGCTCCCTCCAGTTTTGTGAGGTGATGGTTGGAGTAATATTTGATTGAGATCACGATTAGTTCAGAAATTTTAGACCAAATCCTTCCCTGAGGCTTTGTCTGTTGGGAGGGACAAAAGCCTCTGTAGGTTTTATTCCTGATGCCTCCACACTGATTCCTTTTAACAAGTCATGAGGACACTTGTGGTGTCAGGGAATAAACAACCAAAGTTTTGCCTGCACTGATCTATGTAAAATGTAGGCTCCTGCAGGGTCTGATAAATAAAATCATGACAGTACCATTAGCTCTTTTCCACTCAGCAGCCAATAAAGCATCCCATTTCTCTACAGAACAAGGCTCAAGCTGCTTTTCCAGTTGCAGCTGAGCCTGGGTTAAGAGATTATTGGCTCCAGAGGTCAACCCAGCTCCTCCCTGCCAACAAACTGCCCCTCTAAATGGTGGGAAACAAAAGAGCTTCATTGACTAAAACTCCTCTAGCAGGCTAATTCATCTAAAACTGGGTTAGGGAGCAAGCAGATGTGTGACCCTTGGCAGAAGGGACCAGGGTATGGAGCAGACCCCAGCAGGAGGGGTGGGCACAGGAAGGAGGCAGTGTCACAGGCTGTGACGTGACTCCCTGCCTTTTTAAACTCCCAAATAATCTGCTCTACAATACCTGTGAAGCTTAAATTATGCTGACAGAATTTTTATCACTGAAGTGATCAATCATTTGAATGTCTGAATTAAGGATCTGGTTGCTAAATGAGATTAAGAGCACACAAGCAGATTAGAAAATATTCAGGTAGCACAGATTACTTTTATCATTTTAGTTTTAAATGAAGCAAAATCATAGCTGATCACCAAAAATTCCTCAGCCACAAATGCTGCCCCTCTCACCAACTGCAATTATCACTCAGAGATTGCAAAACTTGCATAGCTCTAGATGAGAGAGTTAAAAGTTGGCATGCAGCAAAATCAGCACTGCAAACAAGCCATACTTACTGCATTCTGTTGAAAAAGAAATTACATAAAGTGCAGTCAGTACTTCTACTTCCATAACAACACACAATAGATCTATTAGCATTTATTTAGCATACCAAGTAGATCAATCTTTGTATCACATAAAATGCAAAGTACTGCATAAACGTTATGTATTACAGCTTTGTAGGTGAGTCTATCTTTAGGCACTGTCTAAATATTACCAAATAAACCTTATTTGGTTTAATCATCAGAGCCTAACACACAACAGCATTCATGCATTGCCCTGTCTCTAAATCACCAGGTAATGTTTGCCTCTAAAAGCCATATTTATAACCCTGGGCAGACAAATCTGTGCAACAGAAGAGGAGAATGTGGAAGGAAATAGAGAATGCTGGATGAAGAATGAGTATAAGTTTACTTGACACATTCAGATAAGGCCATCACTTCAGATATATTGAGTTTGAAGTAAAAGGACCCCACTGCCACATCACCCAGACAAAGAGAAAGGATAAACACACTCTGCATCCTCCTGCCAGGCACATGCCACCCAGCTCAGAGAGACTGCTTCTCCAGAAACCCAGGTTATTCTGATTAAAAGGGCTGCAGGACTATTCACTCAAATTATACAGGCTTGGTCATCAACAGAGGATGGAAACTGAACAGAAAATCCAGATAAACCATCTAACTGAAAGGTCATTAACAATACATTAAAGTAATTGCTAGATGTTTTCCTGATTTGCTGTGTAGCTGTGATATTTATGGCTTGCTCAGGAAAAAAAACAAAAAACCAAAATCTACAGAGTTCTCCACAAATCACTCACTTTGAGCTATGAAATTCTATTTGACATTGCCAAGCCACTGAAAATTGCTATTCCAGGAAAAAAGTTATTGAAGAGCAGCAGCAATGTTGTTCTTTGTGAATAATACAGAGCAAAAGGCTAAAACAGTTAATTATGGCAAAGAAAATGGGGGAAAATGTTTGAAATTACTGAAATTCTCAAAACACTTAGAGCAGACCAGAAGACATTTGGTAAATGAAATACACTTTGGAAAAGGTTTTAAGAAACCATGCCCAAAAAACCCCAATTAGTATTTATCTCTAAGCAATTCTAAGGAAGGCAACAGAGGCTGTGCATTTATTCTCCCTTAATGACTATCTCTGATTTTAATTATGTGAGGGTTCCACAAACATTCACAAATTAGTTGTCCCCTCCAATATTTTAATGAAGGTGTTATAGAAATGAATGCAACAGAATTAGAAGGGATCTAAAGGACTTCTTTTTTTTTTTTTTTTTTAGAAAGCAGGAAAGAATAACCCATATCAGTGATAGCACATCATTAAACCCACTCAGGAGACAGGGGCTGGAGGGATCCACCCATCAGAAAATGTTTGCTCCTTATGCTGACCACTTGTATTAAGTGACACAAAGGGGCTTGACCAACACAGAAGCAGTGCAGTCAGACACAAAATTAGAGGAAGAGCTGTCAAATATTCCTAGAAAATTTTAAAGGGGGAAAAAACGCCAAAAATTAAGACCATATCTTCCTCAAGGTGTCAGCTTCTCTTCCAGGCTGTAATTCTGCTACTTTCAATGTCGAGGGCATCACTTCAATCCCTGCATTTTAATAGCAGCTTTATAACTATGCCTTTGAAAGCACTGTGGAATACAAAATAAAACCTTCAGGGAATGCAAAACCACACAGTCTCTCAAATTAAATAAAGGTGCTGGGAAAACAGAATGTCACCTGAGATAGGCTTAAAGTCATGTTGAATTTATAGATACAGCTCAACCAACCACACTCAGCTTATCCTCTGAATCTTTTATCAGATGCAACACTAAATTTAGGGGACTAGAAAAATTCACTGACAAAAATCAAAGCCTACTTCACCACGGTTCTCACTTCACAAATAATGGTGTCATACAGCTTCATTCTTTATCAACCTTCATGGTTGGTATTTCATGAATAGCAAGTTTTGAACTCTAAAAAAAATTCTTCTCCATGCAAAAATAAAGTGATTATATAAACTAGCTATGAAGTTCTATCTGTGAGCCACAGCTATTATATACTGGTATTTGAAAGTACTACAGAAAATATTCTTTTGTGCTTAATATTTTATCTAACTTCTTCGAAAGATTCCACTTGTGTACCATGGAATCATCTGAAAAAACCATATATGGTTTATTGCTGACTTTATACATTTTTATACCAGTAAAATACCAAAGTGAAACAGACAAAAATATTTCTGACCAAAAAGAAGGCTAAAACTCTTACTGATGTTAGCCAGAGAGATCTCCACTAGATTTATGAACAAAAAATATCTAAAACAGGGCATTTTCCTATAAACATTAGATACTTTCTAACCTTCTCTCTCCATATAGAATTAAAATTAACTTTTGAGTACCCAGTTTCCAACTATTTCCAAAGATGATAAGGCAACTAAGACACCTGCTTAAAATTGAAAGCTGGGTACCTTTCCATTAGGCAGCAATCAATTCTTAACTTCCTCCTGCCTAATAAAGTCTAACTTAAGGCTTGTGGTTTTTGTGTCCTCCCCACTGTTTTCCCAAATTAAGCAGGTGATGTGGATCCAAACCTATGGACTCAGGTACAGCTCAGTGTCACACCTTTGTAGGTGTTTCTCAAGGTCTTCTCTTCCTCCTTAACCTTTCATCACACCATTCTTGTTCAGAGGCAGCTCAAACATCTACATGCTGCTCAGTCTGCAACCACACTGATAAAAAGGTGCCCAGCAACATTTTTCAAATATATTATGTGAACACATGCAGCCAACATAATACATGAGACGTATTTAAAGGAAAAGAATCTTTTAAAAGAAAACCCTAAACATTTCAAGTCATGAGACTGTTGAAATCAACAGGAGTGATGCCATTAAAATGAACTTTCATATCAATTTTGAGAAGGGAAAAAGACATACAGACTTATACTTCTGCTCTATTACAAATAGCCCCAGAAAGTAAGTGGTTTTTTGTTTTTTTAAATATCAACACAGCTCCAGGCATCAGAAGTCTCTGACTGCCTCCTACCATATGCAGGTGACCCCAAGTAGTTCCATCAGGCCCCTAGAGGAAAAGCCAGATGGCAAAAGTAATGATGATAAAAGACCAACATACTCACTTCACTGAGATGAATGGTGGAATGAAGAGTGAAACCAACCAGCAAATTCAATTTATATGCTACTGTGGTGTCTGGGGATAGGGGGTTTTATGTATGACCACACAAGCATACGAGTTTATGAGATGAAACTAAGGAATATAAATGCTAGGAAGTTAAAATCAGCAAAATGGGAAAATTCCATTTAAAGAAAATGAGAAAGATACTATTTTAATTTCAGAAAGCAATGACCCAGTCATAACATGACTCAGTTTTAACAATTTTTCAAAATTTTTTGCAAATTTAGTAAAGGCATGTTATCAATAGAAAGGGATAAATCCCTTTCCTTTCTGTTTTCATGTACAAACATTTGAGCAATCAAGCTTATTTCTTGTAAACTAGACTGCACTGGGCTTTTGTGTAAATACCTGTATATGCAAAGAACCAGAGAGGCACATCTTTTAATCATAAATATTCCACTAGACACAATCAATCCATGTCTCAGTGTAACTCATGGAAGCAAGAAACATCTGTGCAAAGCTTGGGAGATTATCCATTTGCCATATTTGTGTAGCTCAACCAACTTCAGCCCTCTTTGTGAGCCAGGAAGAGAACCAGGTACTCTGAAATCCATCTTGCTCCCAGCTGTGCTGTCCAGGCACACAGGTCTGAACCAAATTCAGACTTAAGAAGGCAGTGAATCCAGTGTGATCCATGGGGAAACCCAGGTACCATCACTTCAACAAACTCAACCTGATAATTACAGTCCTGGAACAACAGGAATTACAACCAGGCAAGATCCTACTGCATTATCAGAACCACTCCTCTGCTAAGACAGAAAGAGCTGCTGGAGGGCAAAACATTATTCTCAGAACCTGAAGCAGAACATTTGTGTATTTTTGCTCCAGCATTTCAAGTATTTCCTCTGCTGCAAACAGCCAGCCAATGGGATTTACTGCATAAAACTGCACGTTGCAAAATAAGGCTCTCTAAATACTTACGTTGTAATACAATTAATTAAATGGTGCTTAACTTCCTAGGATGCACCTCTGCTTTCAGCATCCCATCACTTAAGGAAATTATTGCTTTAACAGTATTTTTAAAACTCCCTGGCACTTAGGAGTCCAACCAAGGGTCCCTCTCTGTAAAGCTGCTCTCTTGCCAGCAGAGGAAGTTGATCAATTATAGATTAAAAATTCAGTTCTCCTTTTTCCCACTAGCCTGGGGTTTGCCAGAAGAAGCAGAGGGCTGGGTACACACATTTTGGCACTGCTGCTTGCCAGTATATGATAAACTTCTGGGCATCAGCAAAGGGTTGAACAGTTTCAAAAAGGAAATCTGTTGCAAGCTAGACAGCCGAGAAAAAGCAGCTGGGAATTATGGTATGGAGATTAGGGCTACAAACAAAACAGATATCCATGGATGAGTTAAAGTCAAAGACAAGACACAAAGGGTTCCCAGATTCTTTATTAAAAAAAGAAAAAAAGATAAAATAAGATCCTGATAAGTCAGTTTCCTTTTTAGATTTTTTTTTTTTTTGTCTAATATGTCATCCTGCTAGCAAATAACTAGAACCTTCTCCTGTAAAATAATCCTTTGGGGTGTGGGGGGAAGACCCTGATCCAGGAGCAATCTCTCAGAGCTCAGGATGCTCTGAAACTCTAACATCCTTCATGTAATCCACAGGATAGAAAAAGGCAAAGCAACCAGGCAGCAACTGGACCAAGCTGTTGTGCAGGTTTGTGGTGAAGGTGGAAATAGCTCCCCTATTCTTTCATGCCTTAAACACCTCAGAAAGACATTTTCAATGATTACTACTCCTTATTTAGTTACCGCTCTCTAAAAACAGACGATTAACACAACTATGAACTTGTTAATAGGAAACAAATGCATTCTTCACATTTCTAACATAGTCCCTCAACAGAGATACTGTCATTTGCTCCTTATTTAGTTACTACCCTCTAAAAACAGACAATTAACACAACTATGAACTTGTTATAGGACACAAATGCATTCTTCACATTTCTAACATAGTCCCTCAACAGAGATACTGTCATTTTATCGTTGTCCAGATGACAACTGACACAGTGCATGCAGCAGGAGCAGGCTTCTTTCTGTGACCTCAAGGGACTTCCATGCACAAGAAACAAGCTTAATAAAAAGAAGTGTTATCAAAGTTCATCACGGATTGTGAGAAATGGATGGGGTTTTCCTGCTGGGTGGCTTGTTTGGCTGCTTTACCTGTGATATTTTTATTTACTGGTGGGTTTTTTGCAATGTCTTTGCATGTTCTTGCCTACCTGGACCAAAAGGGGTTGGTCAGATGCTGTCCCCAAAGACAAGGCAGTCACATCACCTCTGGTCACCCAAATGGAACCAGTCCCTCTCTGCAACTCTATCATCAGTGCATCTTGTCAGGCTAAAATACGTGGAACAAACTGCTCCACCAAGGGACTGAGCAGAAAGAGCTCACACTCTCAAACTCTCTTCTCAAGGCCTGGCAAATTTCAACAATAAGCCTTGTTTGGCAGCGTTACCTTCCATAAAACTGCACTCCAAATCATTAACTTCATCATATGGACCAGCTGCAGAGTGGGGCCTGAATATTCAGAATAAAGCCTTTAAGCCAAGCAGCACAGACAGCTCTGTCTCTGAAGGGCTGGGCAGGATGAAACACTCACCCTCACTCCATGACATTCATTTTTACTACCCTCCTTCTTGTCTCCACAGGAAATGTACACAACAGGAAACTCAACACCCAAAGCAAATGGAGAGAGCCTTCTGCTCATCTCTGCTGAGCCCTCACCATCTGCCTCCTACAGCCTTCTCTCCTCCACCACAAACCCCACCCTTCCACCACCCCGCCCCAGCATTCTGCAGGGACACCCCTTTCTGCCCAAAACCACCCAATCAAACCTGGAATAAAATGGGAACAGCCCCAAAGAGACCCCAGGAGGCCTGGAATCAAGCTGATTCTAGAACTCCCAGAGCCACCAGCCATCACCCCCAGCCCATCTCAAATCTCAGTCTAGACTGCACGCTGACTACGCAGGCAGCCGCTCGGAAATGTGGATAAACACACCCGGAGCAATTCGTGTCAGGCTTCAGGCCACTGCCCAAGCTCCAGCAGCACAGTTACACAACCAGCCCAGCCCTCCAGCCTGCACTTCCATGCTAATCCTAGTCCCTAAATCCTTGCCCACAGACAATTCACGCAGAGCCACCCAAAATTTCAGCGTTTCGCTTCGCAAACATTCAGTCCCAGCGTTTGGCTTCCCACAAAAGGCATGGCAGGATTCAAAAATAAACACAGCTTCACAGCACCTATTTTGTGGGTTGTGTAGCCAAGCTTGCTGCTGACATCTGCCAAACCCACAGAGGCTGTGGATTATTGATAGATTTAAATTCCCTAAGCTGAATTTTTAGACAGCCAAGTCCTTATATCTACTTTCTTGGACAGCTTTTGTGTTTGTCTGAAGAATGGGGTTTGTGTTTGATAAATATACTGGCAAAACCCAAATCCCAAAGAGAATATGCCAGCAGTATCAATACTCCAACTATCTTTTCTCTGTTAATTTCCAAGAAACCACAAGTTACCCTTGTAAATTAACTTCAGCTTAAATTACAGAAAATTGCAGAAACCACAGTGAACAGTAACTAAAATCAATGTTTCAAAAAATAGATTGAAAAAAAATCTCATTTAAAAGCTTCAATTTGCATATAATAGAACAAGACTGCTATTGTCATCAAGAAGGTGAAGTATGGTTTTATGTCTTTCAGAATGGTAAATCTGGATTTCTTTATGCACTATTCTTACACAAGGAACTCTAGGATGATCTAAAGAATCATCCTGAACAGAAAAAGGCCCGAGAAATATTGTGCCCTGCCCATTAGGAAAGAAAACAAAAACATTAAAAACAAAGGAAAAAAATTTAAAATGCAAAAATCAGCCTTCAGTAAACACATTCCTTGCTGTGTATTCCAATGGTACTGAGCTTCCTGTGTAAATATTTTGCATGTATATAAAACACTCCTGCTACACCTCCTGTGGGTTTTGATATGTTCTGTCTCCAGAGCACAAGGCCACTTCAGGTCAAAGACCACTGATAAACTTACCTGATTCTGAGTAGAAACATGATTAATGTAAGCCTTTCCACCCTCAGCACATCAAACAGTTTGCACATGTAAAAGGCACAGATTTAGAGATGAAGCCTTTCAAGTGCATTTTTGCCAACAAATATTCTTTGTAGAGCTGACATTAGTTCTAAGTTTCAGGAACAGATGTCAAAGTCAAAATATGAATTAAGAATTAGATACAAGAGGCAACTGCACACTTTTAGTCATAAGTTTCAACTGATTTATAATTAAATTGATATGTTATTGTCATTAACTACACCTCAGCTAATATTTTGAATGTTTGGCTACAGTGTTTACAAATGTACCACGCATCAAAACACTCCAAATTCCACTGCATTTGTTATGCTAGAAATCTTAAGACATAATTAAATTTTCTTTATGTGGCTGCATATTGTCAAAATTTTATTTATTGATTAGTTGCCTTAATATCATTAAATTTAAACAATAATTCAATTATTTATGTGATGCTGAACCAGGCTGCTTGGCTGCTCTTCTCACCATAGGTCTTAACTCATAAGAGAGAGTCACACCTTGTGTGAATGTACTGATGAATTTGGTCCCCAAGTCACAAGGCAAAACCTTCCCCAGCTTTTCCAGGAAAACCAACACTTGGCATTTAAAGGAGTGAACAATAACTACCCCCATTATTTTAAAGCTTTTGAGAAAGCTACACTATAGTTCAGCATGACAGGTAAATGAAAAGAGCCCTGGGTTTTTTTTCATCTTTCTCCTGCACTCAGCCACTTACTTATGACCTTCTAAGATGCTGAATGCAGAAAAGATGAAAATTACATGTGAGAAACAGCCTCATCTCTGGAACACCATCCCACAAACACAATCCTTCAGCTGGCTCATGCCACCTTTCTGTCTCCCACCTCCCTGTGCATGTCCAACCTAAGCACAACAGGGGAGCTAGAACAAACAAGTCCTGCCTGAGGATGCCAGCAGCACCTTTCCAGTGCCAGCTTCCTAAAAGCTACTCAAGGACCAGCTCCCAAGAGATCTGGCACCCAGATCCCTGTTCAGCCACCTGACCTCTGGCACAATATTTTCATAAATATGTTCTTGTGCCTAATGCAAACAGCACAGCCTCGCTCAGCAAGCCCTCGAGGCAGCTCTCAGCTTTGCTTTTCCTCTTCAGAGCTACTCTGATTTGCACATAGTCGGATGTTTTGCTTCTGAAATGAAGCTTACACCACCCTCACATGAACAATCATTCCCATTTTCCACACAGCTTAAACACCCTCCCCAGATTTCTAAGAGGGATGTAGGGAAGTGGGTCAGGATTTTTCTACTGATTTTGTTTCTCCTCAGATGAGTTTCTAGTTTAAACACACACAGATTCCAAACAAGGTCTATAAATCTCTTAACAAAAACTGTCAGAACAAGATTTATGGAAAATGCCGTGTCCCTGGTGCTCTTTAACCCAATTAAAAACTCCTTATTGATTGTTTTGTTTCAAAATACCACCAGTCTAAAAATACTATTGTAAACAAACAGCAGTGAGCCACAGATCTTTAGCTAGGAGTAGGTACAGAATATCCACCTAAGTGAATTGAGATGAAATGCAATACGCGCTTGTTTAATTTTGACAGGAAAAAAATGTATAGTTTTTGTTAGGTGGTTGTTTTTTTTTTTTTTCCCCCCTCTCAGGATACACAGCTTGTTCAAAGACATCAACAAAATGCCTCAGGGCAGAAATGACAGCGCCAGAGTTTTTCCTATACTCAGAATGTATGTCACAACAAAACATATTTCATTTATCCATCATAAATATTTATCTATGGTGTAAAAACACAAGTTTGACTTCCATAATTTTTTGTTTCAATTGCCAGACATATTAAGACATCTTTCTTTGGCTTACCTTTCTAGTGGGTTTATTTGTCAGGCATGACACACTTGAGTCAAATTACATATATTCTGATTATCAATTAATGAACAACTCTCTTAAGCTTTAGTAACAGCTCTCTCACTAAATGGTTACCATTATGAAGGTCTTACCTCAAAAATTTCAAAGCCATAGATGTCCAGCACCCCCATTACCTTCTTTCTCACTTTTGTTTGTGCCTTAAAGAAAAATAAACACTGAGTCAGTCATCTGTACATTGCATACTTGGGACTCAAGAAAATGAATGCATCTCATAAGCAGGCTGTCAAAAACTGTAAAACTAAAATGTTACATATGGTTTCCCAAAATACACTTAAGGTGAATATTTTTACAAGCTCAAGAACAGAGCAGAGAGCAATTTGTTGAGGTGTGATAAGGTTATTTGTGTGCAACAGTGTAGAGCCAGGAGAAATGAAATTGGCAAATACAGTTTTACTGTCCACTTTAATTTGAAGGATTTCTATTGATTTTTTTTTCTTTTTACAAGCACAAAGCAACAATACCTTAATGCTCTCATTGATCCTGGTAACAAGCCAGGAGAACAGGCGGCTGTACAGATTCTTAGCCAGAGCATCACGGGCATAATAAGCCTAAAGAGAAGAAAGAAGAAAAATGTTATAAATGCTGGGCTAAACCAAACATTCTCCTGTTGCTGGGGTGTCCTAAAGGTGCCATGAACTGAGTAAAACCAGCACAGGGAGCATTGGCTCTGCCCTCCTGGCTGGAACAGCAGCCACTACCAGGGCACCCCAGCTCCCTCCCTGCTCTTCCAGCTGCCCCCTGAACACTCACATCCCCCATCCTAATCCTGGGCAAGGGGGCTCGAGCAGCTGCAGCTGGAGAAGGCACATTCCTGCTGGCCTGAGCTGATGAGACACAGGTGGCAGCCACCCTGGCTCTGCAGCATTGCAGGGAGATGAATTCACACTGGCAGCAAAGGTTTTCCAGCAGCCCCAGGGCCCACAACTCACATGGAATTACAGCAGTTGCCCTAAATGAAAACAGTCTGCCTCAACACTTGCAGCATGTGCTTTGTGCAGGACTGCTTGTTTTTACATTCTCTGCAACATTTGCCTATCCCTCATCTTTTGGAGGTAATTCACACCACCAAACCAAAGCATCTCTTAACATTTAGAAACCACTGAGCAAAAAACACACCCTATGCTTGTGATTTATTCAGTGCAGCCTTTCAGTTGTAGTTTTTAATGGGGTAGTTATGATTTAATCATGCAGAATAAAATTGCCATTTAAAAAGATCTTGCCTTTTAAATCAGGCCCTCTTTTTACCTGAGCCACGTTTAGTGTTGTTGAAACTTTCTCCTGTTTGGCCTCAACCGTCCGGAAGCTGAAAGCTCTCTCCAATACAGACTGGTCTATACCTGTCAACTCACAGATTTCCTTGAGTTCTAGCAAGAAAAAGCAAAGTGTAAATACAATCAATCCTTCCTTATTACTGCTTTTTCTTCCCCAAAACTACCAGCATTTCAGAAGTGTGGTATTTTCCCAAAATGCTCTTCAACAGAAGTGTTCTCCATTCACACTCTCTCCCCACCACCCTGCCAAGCAAAGTTTTTAAAAGCATGCACAGCACAAGGAAACAGAGCTACTGGTTTTGAAAGCACTTCCTATCCACTTATTTTTGAGAAGAAACTTTCCCTCCATTTATAGCAGATTACTTTACATAATGAAAAACTTTCAGATGAAAATGAACTTTCAAAATACATCAGCTGCAAAAATATCACCAAATGAATCTGACACTAAAGGCAGAGATACTGCAAAAGAACAAAAATCCTCCACTGCAGAAAAAACAAGCAGCTACATAAAGGCACAGAACCATTTAACATTTTAGAACAAAGTGCTAATAAAGTGAGAAAAAAGGAGAAAATAATAATTTTTGGAATTTCAAACAGAACGATTGAAATTGCACAGAATGCAGCCCATAGTTGCCTGAGGGTGAGCTCTGGAAACAATCTAATTCATATGTAAGGATATTGTATGTCTGCAGAAACAACAAAATTAATAATGACTTCAGACAAATTAGTGGCTTTCTTCCCATCACTAATCTCATCTTACCATTTTTATCTTTGATTTTACTTTCATCTAGGCCATTTGCACGAGATTCAGGCTTAAATTCGATATTTCCCAATTTCAGAACGGCTGCCACTACTTCAAAAACCGACTGTGTTTCATGATCCATAAACCCAACAATCTGCATTGCATTCTGGAAAGGGGAAAAATAAAATTAGGAGATAAAAGCATCTACATTTAAACAGATCACTCTTGAAAAATCCACCATTTATCTGCAAAATTACAAATGGCTTATGAATGCTTCTGCTACTAAAAGTACCTGGTATAATTCCTATCCTGACAAATAAATTTTTTTAATACACAGGAGGTGTGAAAATGGAGCTGGCATTCGGTCCAGTCCACTTCTAGGACTCATTCAAAATTTGGGTTTCTGAAACACTGTACTTTTTTTAGCCACTTAATTTAGTTTGTAACCCAACCCAATTTTTCCCAGTCAAAAGAACAGGTCCTCCTGTCTTCTCAGACCAGTCACTTTTAGAATCCCCATTTGCACACACTGGGTAACAAGGTCCTGTATTCATCTCATCCCCAAGTACAACCAAGCAAAAACAGGACAGCAAATCATCTTGAGAATCCTCCCAGTCCTTTTTCTTTCAACCTGGTCAGCATCACCTGGTTCCTGAGGCTCAGTCACTGCTGTCCTAAGCCACTACAAAATATAACTTTTCCCAGGATCTGACCAAGGCACCTGGGCTGCTTTTCCCCCCCTTTTTTGGTTTCTTTCTGGTTTGGGGGGAAGTTTTGTTTGAGGTGTTTTTCTTTTTTTAATTCTTCTTTGGGTTTTTTTTTGGTCCTTTTTGTGTTCCCATAAGAATACTCCAGAAGCTTGATCCTATTTCCTAGCTGTATCTATGTTTCCCTGTGCAAATATGCTCTAACCCAGCACTCAGAAAAGGTGGCCCTCCCAGCCCAGCCCTGCAGGAACAGACAGACCAAGGGCCATAAGAAAGAACCTGCACTGGTGTTGAGTGCCCAGCCAGCCCCTGCTCCTTCTTACCCTGACTGTTCTGAAGTTTGAAGCATCATCCACTCCATTCACTCTGGCAGAATCAAGGCCCAGGTAGTTGTATCTGCTGAAGTCCCTCTCCAGCTTGAGTTTGCCTAATAAATCAATCAAAAGTATCATTAATAATAGCATTCTTGTTAGTAGCAATTTTATCCCAGAATCAGCATTGTCAGGAATAGGTTGTTATTATTGGATTTTCTTCAAGGATCTTTTAATTATTAGCCTTCTGAATAAGAACAGGTTTTCAAATTTGTTTTTAATACATTGCTAAGCCAATTCTGACTCAGGTATCTGGATAATATCAAAGCATATGCGGACTTCATATACTAACAATGATACTTCCACCATTAATTTGAAAAATTAATATCACATTTCCCACAAAAGATGATATGCATGGAATAAATAGCACATTAAATATAAAGAAAATTCATATGTGAACAAGGCACAAGTGCAACACTTACAGAGAAACTCTTCTGATGCACCAGACAGGATCTGATAGAAAATGTGGAAGTTTCTTTCACCCCTTGGCTGCTTAACGACACGAGACTTCTCCAGCAGATCTAAACAAACAAACCAACAGAAATCTCACAGGTGAGGGACAGGCTGCTGGAGCAAAACCCTTTAAAATGAATATAACACTCCATCATTTTCTACTTCATTGCTTTATATCACCATGAGCAAACCAGAAGAGGCTGGGTATGAACCTTATCATAGTATATCATGTATCTCAAATATTTCTTTGAGCTAAGGGCAAGCCCAGTGCTCTGGTAAAGGCTGCAGTCTATGAGCTGCAAAGAGAATTCAGGTCAGGGAGGCAATGTGCTCAAAAGATGTTAACTGATTTACTGTACCATCACAAAATTAGGATTTGGTGAGGATGACTCTATGGGTGAAGGCTTGAAGAGGCAAAATGTTACCAGGCTAAGTGCATGAAAGATGGGTAAATGAAAAGGAGAGACCAAATAAAGAAAGTATTTAAACCAGATAATCATGCAGCACTTTGTGATCCTCAGGTGTATCAGACTATGAAATAATTCCCAGTGGGGCTGACAGAAGCTCCATCCTGATATACTGAAAATGAAATGGAAAAGCAGCACTTTGAGAAGCATCACTGCACTGATGGAGTAGCTTGACAGGAAGACTGCTCTCAGTGACAGACACATTTCTAAGCCTTGCCCCACGAGAGCAGGAATCAGGACAGGCAGCATAAGCAGACTGACTGGTTACACCTTGCAACCACTTCAGACTCAACATCATATTTGCCACGGAGGTGACAATTCAAAGGTTGTTCAGCCTGCACTGCACTGGAAGGCTGTGGTTCACAGCACCCCAGAGAAGGAAGAGGAATGCAGTAAGAGAACATCTGGACAGGTATGTGACCTGCTGGTTTTGTACAAAACATATGTTTTTTCTTCTTTTCTCACTAGCACAACTAGTGAGAAAAAACCAACATTTTTCCAGATAGCAAACACAATTCTCATGTGTTTCTCTTAAGCTACGTACATTCAGTGGCATGGAGACAGAGACACTCAATGCCTCATTCCAAGCACACAGCAAAGGAGTTCCCCCTGCACCTACCATGACACACCCCCACATCTCCCTGTGACTGGGGCATAAGTTCTCTCTAAGCCTGTGCAAGAAGAAAACCCGCAAAGGGAACTGTCACTCTTCAGAACACCCACAAAGCGAGATGAGGTTTCCCAAGGGTAGGACACAGCAAACACCAAGTCATTACATGGGGTTGTTAAACCCTTTCCCTTTCTGGAATATCTGAGGTGTATTTTACCACACCTTTTCTCACATTCCCATTCCCGCTGACATGGAGCCTGTCCCATTTCAGCAAGCTGGGAAGTTGGAGGGGGCACTGTGGCCAGCAACCTTTGTGCTGCCACCCCCTCACCCCAGTCCCACCATGGAGGAGCAACTGGGGAGCCCCTGGCACAGCAGGGCTCAGCCTGGGAGGGCTGGATCTGTCCCAGGGTTCCCTCCATGAACTGAGGGCTGCAATAGGTGTATTTCTAACAGGCAGTGCTTGGTGCCTGTGCTGCCCACTGTAATTACCTATTTACCTCCCTTCTCATGGAATAGGAAATAAAGACCCTTCTGAAGGGTCTAAAGTAACTTCAACCCACAAAATTACATAAGTCTTTGGAGTCCCTGCTCCTGCTAAACTACAGCGAGTCAGGCTCAAAAATTGCTTTCTGCTCCCATAATTAGCCAGTGACAACAATGATAAAATCCAGACAGTATTTATTAATCCTCTGATTGCCTAATAGTAGGACAAATTTCAAGTATTTACAGGCTGAGAGAGGCTGATCCCCCATCCATGTGTTAATACTTGGGCTGGGGAAGGCAAGGTGAGCAGCAGGCAGTTCAGAGCTGTGCTGGCTGTGAAGGTTCTCCAGGCAAGTGTTGGAACAGATCGCAGCCAAATTTAATCTCAAAAAAATAAACAACTTCAGCTCCCACAGTGGCTGCACACACTTCAGGAAATGGCTGTATTCTCAAAGGATATTGAAGCAATGTGGTTTGGCTTATTTGGGTTTAAAAATATTCTACCCATAAATTTTCTCAAATGCTGTCATAAAAGCCCAGCTACATATCCTGGCAAAATATTGTATGTAAGCCTTCTAATTACATGCATGCCTTCAGCAGATTTAAAAAACAGGTTCCTGAATGTATTTAAAATTAGTTATGTTTAGGAGGATAATTGGTTTTTTCACCAGTTTATCTTCTTTATATATTTTTAGAAGCAACAAAGTTAACCAATTCACAATCAGTTTTCAAAAGTCCAAACATTCCATATTCTGTCAGCCTTCATAACTGAGGAAAAAAGCAGTCACTGTCAGAAAATCAGGTATTTTCCTTAACAAAGCAGCTGCTGCCAATTCTTTTTCAAATCTGTGTTTATTGGGGTTTCTTTTCTTTTCTTTCTGTTCACACAGACTGAAATCAGACTTGTAGGACAGATCCAGACCATCTGCCCACTTCTTCAGAAAACTTCTTCCCTCTGTTTGCCCTAATTAGCATTTTAATAAATCAACCACATATATTTTTCCTGATGCAACCACTGCACTGCCAGTAACTTTTGTGTGAGCTCCCACCCAATTGCCAGCTCTGGGGATCAAACACTCCAAAGAGAAAAGACAAAGCTGCACCTCAGACTGCTGCACGTGGCCCCTCGGTGATGGTGTTGACAGTGGAACGTGTGGACAGATGGTGCTCATCTATGTGAAAACCCACAGAAGCAAAAATCCCCCAAACTCTCTCTACATTACATTTTGTTACACAGTCTATGTGAATTATGTGTAGGGACTATGCAGAATTATCAGGAGAGCACATACAGAACTACATATGGTGTGTTTATGGGTTATCTCTGCATTATCTACTAGTGCTTCTGCTTCAACAGAAGCATTTAACTTGTTGCATGCACCAAAGCAAAAAAAAAAATTAAATTAAAATGTAAAAATTAATTTGCCTTGGAAAAGTTCAACCTTGGAAACATTTCTGTCTGAACACCTATCAATTCAGATGACTCGAAATCCAGCTACAGGCCTCAGGTTCTGAAGATTTTTTTTGTTATTCCTAGATATCGCTGTTTAAATGCAAGAGATCTGTAAAAGCACCCTGCTAAACAATTTGACTTAACATAAAAGAAAAGATTCTGAATACTTTTGCAAACTCTAATGCACAACTTTATACTATTTTTTTTGTTGTTGTTACTTGACCCATGAACTCAAGTCATCCAGAGAAATTTAGGATATTTGTATTTCTCTAAATGTACTAGAAATCAAATCGACATTCAAGAAAGGAGCAAGTAAACACTAAAACAAAAAAATGACACTACCTTGGTACGTTTTAAATCATCCAGAAGTTTATTTTAGTCATAATCTGTTCACCTGGCCATGACAAGGAGCCTTTTAGCTGCTCAGTTTACATTACCGTACATTTTGCAGTCACACCAGCTTATTTCTACAGCCACATTACATTTTCTTTTTCCTACCTTGATTATCTAGCTTTCACCATAAAAAGTCACTGGTTAAAAAGTTTCTCATGAACTTTCCCCTATTATTCTCACCAAGCTCTTAGTAATGTTCTCTTGGATAAACTGATCCATAATTGTGTCAGTCAAAAACTACTAAATGGGCAGCACATGTATTGACAATGACTGCATCATTTTAAGTGTTAAATCCTCCTTGCTCAAGTGATGAATGCTGTTTAAAAATTAGCTAATCAAAATGTTTAATATAATTTGTAGCTTGTTTTCTCAAACCATTCCTAGTTTAGGCAAAACCATTGCCTAAATGGTGGCAAATGTGCTAAGAAGAACAACAAGAGAAATGTTGCAAAAAGTGAAGATTTAAAACAAAACCAAAAAGAAAATTAACAAGAATGGATATCTCTTCCCATAACGTCTAATTGTCCAGTTTCTGCAATATTTCCCTAAGCAAAGAAGATTTCCAACAGCAATCACAGCTCAGGCTCTAGATTGCTCAGTAAGTGGGTAATTACTTTTGACTTTTAACATGAACAAACAAGTAAAAAATAATCAGCTGCAAAGTTATCACTTTGCTAACTTCAAAAAATACAAGTTGTGCCTTAAATAAACATCATAGATTTCTTTCATGCTGTTGTTTAAAAAGATGGAAAAACCGGGTCCTTTCTTAATCTCTTGTTATTCGGACTCTAAAGACATTTTGCTGATTAAAAATGGCTTTTCCAGATCAGGCATTGCATATCCTTTACTTCCCAACCTGCACCAATGTTGTCTCCTAGTTAATCATTATATCACTGAAGGGCTTGGGCAGATTAGGAGAGATCACTGAATGCTAAAAGCCAGGTATTTTTCAGCAGGAAATTCCAGTGAAACACGAAAATTTAAGACTTACAAAAACTCTGGGAAAGATATTGTAAGATCCATGCTTTTCAAAAGGTCTAAACTATTGTGAAAGTGAAACATTTTGAGGTGCACTGTGCAAAACCCCTTCAGCCATCAAATTTAGTGCACATAAAACCAGTCACAAAACTAATGAACCAAGTGCGCACACAAACACTGCCTTAAGTACAAAACAGAGGCAGCATCTGTGGACAGAGTCATACTTCAGAGCTGAAAAAAAGCTATTGCAATTAGCACCTATTACTTCAAAACCAAACTTACCTATTTTTATGTAAGGTATGTCTTATTGTGTAATTACAGGTGGAAAAGAAACTACCACTCTCCTCTCTCTCACCCTAACAAAGTAGTTATAATAAATGAAAAGCTAAGAATAATATTGACCTTTTCTGTAATTTATTTCCACAATATTACACCCAGCTGAAAGCAACACTCCAACACTGCCTTTACTCATAAGTGCTCTGGAAAAAAAGCCCTCTGAGTGCATAAGTGCTGACAAGACTGTCCACTGCAGCAGCAGCTATTGTAAACACCCTGCAGGAGGGCAGAAAGAGCAGATACACCTCAGAGAGAGAAAATGTTTTAAAATGCCATTTACCTGTTTGCAGATACCACTTAAAGCAGCAACACACCTTGAAGCAGGGACTGATGTTTGCTACTGAACAGGGATGGGATGCCTACAGTCCCAGGTGGCAACACAGCAAGGGTTTTGTGTTTAGCAATGCCCACAGGAGCAGTCTGGATTTCCTAACCCATGCACATGAAAAAGGTCACCTGCGAATGGATGGCAGCTGGCACCAGGACTGAGCACCCTCCATGGGCTCCAGCACTTCCCACCCATTAGGAAAATGAGCTGGGATCTTCACAGAAAGCTAACAAAAAGGCAGGACTAACAATTCAGGGTTACAGCACACTTCAGTCAGCCTTCTTCACCCTGCTTCTCACCCCACTGGTGGTGGATCAAACAAATGCAACACTTGCTGCCTTGTAGCAAGGGGAAACAATTCCTGACTGAAGTAAAATACTTAAAGTTGGCATAAATCACATTAATTTCAAATTTTCCATTCCTATTTTTTTTCTTTCATGATGATGTAACAGTATATCAATTTCCTTGGAAACCAGCACGGCTGGAAGATCTGAGCTGCCCTACATGAAATGAGACTGCACAGATTTTACACTGTTCAAACACAACATTATCTTCACTTTGGGTACATACCAGTCCTGAATTTAGAGATGCCACAAATCCCTTCCATTTCATTATTTCCATTCTGATTTCAGTCAGGAGATTTACCCTTCTGTTTATGGCACACGAAATGTTTTGGATCTGTCAGCTGAACATTCCCACTGGCTGCAAACTGGACAGGGCAGACCAGCAGTGTGCTCTGGCATGATAATTTCACCCCCTAACTCCATCCTGAGAAAGGTTCCTCCCAGGTTAACCCTCTCATTAAGAAGCAGGAGCTCATTGAAAGGCAGCAGGAGAATGGCCCCAGGGCAGGTCACAGCAGCTTCAGCCACTCCTTGAAGGGTCACACAGACAGTGACCAGCCTTCCACAGAGCTTCACAGCATTCCAAGGCAGGGCAGAACAGGCCATGCCAAGAGAGATCTTTCAGCCTAATGGGTCTCTGCTTATCCACTTATCTGATAAAATTAGTAGCTTATCTTGGTTACCATCCTTGCCACCAGAACAACAGAGATGTTTCACTGTGTCTGCTCCAAGCCACTCACTACGAAATACATCTTCAGGCTGTGCCACAAAAAGCCACTACCTTAACTGATGTGTGGAAATTAGGCTGGCCAGAAACAACTCTTCAAGTTTAACTAAAGCATTATGATGTCATCTTCACATCATATTAATACCAAACTAACAGACAGAAATCAAAGAATATTTATGAATATTTTCATAATCATACTTTGCCTTTTAAGGATAGGAAACTTCAGCACTACTTGACTTCATGCTTGATGAATTATGAAGACAAATCCTGATTTTGACTTAAACCAGAGTAAATTCTGAGGGGTGTAAAAGAATTTAGGCCCCCAATATCTTCAGAATGATGATGCCTCACAGAAGAACAAATGTTTTTATTGCAATGCAATGCTACAGATGTGTGGAAAATATTTAGGGCAGCACAACAAAATTTTTTCAAAGCAAATTTTCATTTGCTTTGAAAATGCAGAAAATTTAAAATTTCTTTGAAAGAGAGATGGATGGACTAGCAAATTTTGCAAACACTTAGTCAAAGATGAGATGTCTTAACATGCTGCTACAGGAACTCAGTATTTACCTGTGACATACCCTGCCAAGGATGAGGCATTTCATAGTTCAACAAGTAACATCTTTTCCTCAGCAGGGCTTGCTCACACATCAGGTCTTTATTCTTACATTGAAATTAATCTCCTTGTTATTAGATATTTATTACATGTGACAAGACAGAAAGAATGCCTAAAACAGGCCCATTTTAGATGGATCCAAAAATATGTCTGCCCTTTGATACATATGTCATCACATCACTACAATTACATGTAATATTATAATTACACCATGCAGAGATTTATGGGGCAGATAAACTACAGAGCAACTATTTGGATTGCCTTTTGATATGACACAATATTTTAATTACATGACTCAGTGCAGTACTTTCAAAGACAGACTGGTAAATGTCCACTCTTACAAAGGAGGGCTCATTTTTATGTATATATTTTGCATGTGAAATAAAAAGAAACAGCAGCCTTTTAGAACCTTCTTGTTCACATTTAATTATTATGAATATATTATGGTTGGCCTCTAATTTTGTTAACTGCCAAATGTCAAAGCTAATAGATAGCCATAAACACTTATATAGTGACTAATTTGAGTCTCAAGATCTACTCTGTCACAAAAATTAGGCTCTTCAGGCACAGTTCCAAAAGGTGATCTGGTTGAGAAAAAATGTCTGCCCTCTGAAAAAAGCCAAAACCTACATTTATGTGCAAAATTCCTCATAGTGTTTTTAAAATGTTTATGTTATATATGGAGAGTACAGTTCACCTTGGGTGAGTCTCATTATTTCACAACCAGTAAAATGCCAGTGGTGTCAAAAGTCACGTCTTTAGAAGCAGCAATGAATTTGGCTGAGTGGAATGAGAGGTCAAGGCTGGGTCAGTGACACCTAGTATAGTCACTCACTGCCCTCTTCCTCCCCTTTTAAAAATAAGAAAACCAAACAAATATACCTTTATATAGCACTGAGGAGGAATTTATTTTAAAAGCTGCACTTAAACCCCCAAAAGAAAAGCAAGTCAAAGCATTCTCAGCTGCCATTCAGTTCCCAGCCTTTTTCTTCCCAACAGAGAGCTGGTCAGAATTTCTCAATTGCTACGGTGTCATAAAACAAGCTCCAAGGCCACCTTTCCCTCCCTAAACTCAACTGTTCATCCTCTCTCATTACAAACCTTTTTCTACAGTTTGAGGTGTATAAATTTATACAGACAGCTTTGGCTCCAAGTAAACATACTCATCTCATGGTGATCTCCAGCACTCTATCACCCTTGCATTACATGCCAGCATCTGCCATAAATACATGAGCCATCAAACCCAGTAACACATCTGATTCCAGGGATTCAAGAATATAAAAGGCCCTCAGGTATCCATATGCATCTGCCACCACCTTCAGACACAATATAGACTCACATGCATCACTCAGTACCTTTGAAACAATGCAGTAAATCCAATATTCCTGTGGCTTACCTCTTCAAGTCTGTTTTCACTTCCTCTAAGGTACGTTATTCAGCAGCACAACAGCAATAAAATTAAAAAGCAGAATTTATCACATGGAGAGTGATTCTATTCGACTAACACAGGTGATCTTTTCAATAATTTAACCATCTTCCTTTCTACAGAAAACATTTTAATCTGTGAATATGCTGATACCAAAATTAATACTCACAGTTGCTGATAACTCCCCCAAGTGGGTCACCCTTGAAATCAAACTCAATATCCATGTATTTTCCCTGTGAAAGCAACAGATTTTAAGATTATAATTTCTGTATAAGAAAAACTGCTCAAGACATTAAGTTAGTTGGTTGAATGATTGGAAGAGTGATCTGACAATTTCCTGTCAGATTTCTGCAAAAGAGAAAATTATCCAAATCTTCTAAGCCACTATAACCCCCAGGGATGTGTATGGAAACAGTTTTAATTGGGTCTGTAAAGCAACCCAGTGACTTGCTGGGTTTCTAAGGTCCTATGTATAATGTGCATTTTCTTTAAACTTCCACTGGAGTGCCAAGAACACCAAACAAATCCCTGCAGCCATTGAGGTAGGGCCACGCTTATTTACTGAAGGATGCAAAAAGAAATTATTTAGCAGGAAGAAATGATCTTTTCTCCCTGGGAGCCGTGGCAGCGTGAAGCCAGGCAGCTGAAGGAGAGCCGCCAAGTCGGGCCCCAGGCAGCGGCTGGCAGCGAGCGCTGCTGGCGATCGCGGGACGCCTGTCCCCGAGCGTGTGCCTGCCTTGTAAAAGTGATGGATTTTTCCCGCTGAACTCTTTCCCTCGGAGCTCAGGAGACCAGAGGCAACAATTAACGGGCTGTCACCGCACAAGCGATTTCAATCCCGCCACGCTGGCGCAGCGCGTTTCCTTGTCTCCTGCTTGACTTTTCCACATCGCGGAAGATCGCTCCGGTCTTTGGATCGTTTTAATTTATTTGACAAGTGCTTAATGTAGTAACAGCTACATTTAACAGTGACAAAATGGACAGGCTGTGCAGAAAAGGCAACAGCAGTGCTGCTTGCCTTGGCAAGGGAGTTTAGAAAGACAAAAGCTGCTGGTGGTAATTCAGCCAAATTCCACCCTCTGGCACACACTTAACAGAGGACACTGCTCACTGTGAGGAGCACGAGGCACTGAAATGGGCTGCCCAGAGAAGCAGGCCAGGCTGGACAGGGCTCTGAGCAGCCTGGCCCAGTGGAAGGTGTCCCTGTCCATGGCAAGGAGTTGGAATGAGATGGTCTTGAAGGTCCCTTCCAACCCAAACCTAAGATTCTGGACAAAAACAATCCACTGAAAAGCTTTGTGTTTATATTTTGTTATTCACTGAATCCAGGAAGAGATTGGGTTTTGTTTATTTTTCTATTTTACTTTTTATTACAGAACATAAAAACCAAGCACTTTACACTGACTCACTCGAAGAAACTTACTAATTTACTGGGTATTTTGTCAAGATTGACTTGACTCTACCTAAACTATTTTCTTTCCTGTACTGTATTGTTCAAGGTTAATTCTGAGCTGATTGAAATTTCAGAGAGAAAAAATTTAAATCGGATAATTAAATTTTAATTCCCAAGGACTGGGACAGCTGGGTGCTTCCAAAAGTATTTTTAGCTCAGTGTTTATAAGAGAGGACTTGAAAAGAAAAATAGTTGTTAGTTCCACTTTGTCCTGGAAAGACTTCTGGGCTGTCTGCTCATAATTTCTGCAATGTCATGTCTCATAATTGCAGATTTCCTAGCCTTTCTATTTAAAAAAAAAAATAAAAAATTAAAATCTCTACAGGTGCCCCAAATTTTGGCCCTGGCCTTGTGATGAAGACCCCTTTCTCTGTTCACAATCAGAGGCAATGAGCTGCAGAAGGAGTATTCACAGACATGTGGAACATCATCAGCTCTTGAGAATTAGAAGAGAAGGGGAGGAAATCTCCCAAGTGGAAAGAAAAAGCCACTCTCCAATCTCACAATGTCCAGCACATTTATCCATTTGCTTTAACTCACAACACACCATTCTCCCAGTGTATCGATTTCCCTACTCTTGTCAACCTCACACATCTCACAATATTGCTTTTCTGGACACAGGTGAGCGAGTGACAGAGTTGTAGTCAGCTTTCTGACTTTAGCAGGAGTAACTATGGTAAGTACTCACACTTCTAAACCTCTCAAATCTAGCATCAACTTTTCTGTTTTTTCAGCTGACAATTCTGATGATTTTTCATTCAGTTCCATGCCCAAAAAAGCTTGAATTCAACCAATCGATTATAAAGAATTTAAGCACAAAACCCCAAAACATTACAAATGTTCATATTAAAAACTAAAGTTGCAAAGACATTTTGAAATGCTATAGAAAGTAAATGGGAACCTAAAGTAGTAATTTTAACCCCCAAAAAATATACATATGAATGGAAAACAAGATTACATGGAAAGATCCACTTGCTAAGTAGACCACTTGCTGGACACATGGTCTCTGACACTAAAGCCACCAGTGCCAGAAAATTAAAGAATCCAGCTGCACTGTAATTATGTTTTCATCCGGTCACAGGCTGCCACATCCTAATTTTGTTTTTCTTTTTTAGCCTCTGCTTTGATATTCAATTGAACTCTATGCCCATATCAGAAACCAACAAGCTTTCTGGCAAGGAGGTGAAACATCTTTGAGGAGGTGTCACTAGCAGTGCCCTGCTAACACACTGGGGAAGAGAACATGCTCCTGTGCACAAAATTCAATATGGATTGTTGTAGTTGTTCACCTTCTTCAAACACCACAGTCCTCAGACGGCCACAAGAAAGCTCCCCAAATTATTCCTTCCCTCTTTATGAATGCTTGAGTGGTTGATACATGGCAAAACAGAAATAGCCAACCGCACAGCACGCTCCTTGAAGAGGACTGAAGGAAATACTTACAAATCTAGAGGAGTTGTCATTCCGCACAGTTTTGGCATTTCCAAAAGCTGAAGAAAAAGAAAAACAAACACAACAAGCAAATCAGTAAAAAAAAAAAAAAAAAAAAGCTAAAATATCTAGGTCTGCTTGTACATTTAAAGGAATTATATTCATCTGAGAAAAAATGCCCTGTTCATTGTATGGGCATCAGTCCCCAGGGACAGTGTGGCAGACATGATCACAAATTCCAAAAACCTATAGAAGTCCAAAGAGGTTTTGTCTCAACACTTTCCTTGTTTTAAAAAGCTAAAGAAAAATATACAAGAGGAAATGGTTCCAAAATAATACTGTACCCATATTAAGCATATATCTTTGGGGTTTGAATCAACAAATTAATAATTTTATTAACCAAATAACTTTAAATACAGGAAATACTTATTTCTCTTCATTTCAGAGAAAGAAATGAATCCTAGTTCCCAGAATACATTAAAAGCTGGAGGCCAGAAGTGAGGAAATTACAGAATGACACTTAAAAATTGTTTGCATAGGACAGTTTAATCAATGCTTTGAAATGGATTTATTTACACCATTTCAAACTCATTAATCCTACCTCAAGCTGAATATTATTCAGCTGAAATCAGTCAGATGTGCTATGAAAGATTGTCTTCAGCTTGACCTAAACTAGCTTTCTGAATAGCTTGGTTTAAATTTCTTTAGCTCAAGTTTCATGACACTGAAAATTCTCTGAGAAAGGACTTCCCAAGGTGACATTCAGATGGACAGCCACCATCTTAGCATGGGCAGGACAAGAATTCAGACAGGAGGACAATTCAAACTCTAAAACTCCCACATTGTCCAAGCACATGGAGTCAAACAGGAGTGTCCCCTCCATCATTAGGTACAGAACTCCTATTTCCAATAAGAGACTTTATTTATCCCAGTATTTATTTACATAGCATATATATACTTGAAGATCAAGTCAAGTCAATGTTTTTTGGACAGAAATAAATACATGCCTTAAGGCTTCCACAAACTTGCATGAGTAGACTTATTCTTGACCAAAGAACTAGAGCCAAAATGAAAAGTTTGTTGATCCTAAAGGCCAGGATAAGTGAAAGAATTGTTTTTAAATCTTTATGCCCTGCAATAAATCATCTTTTCAACAACCAAATCTCTGAGCTGCATTTTCTTATACACTGTGCTGAACAGTAAAGTCATTTATAACTGCATGGAGTCAAACACAAATGTTCCATTATAAAGCATGAGGCACATTCCTTCGTTTTCCCTAAAGTTCATTGTTTCTAAAAGTTAATTTACAGTAGCAACTGTAGTTTAATAAAAATAATCCCATAAGATAAATTATGCATATGTAACATTTATGTCATTTTCTTGCACTGCAGTTTGACTGAAACAGAACTACATAACCAAAGAAAAATAAATCTAACCACAAATGCTTAATTTCTTTCTAAAACCTATATAAGCAGCCATGCTTACTTAGTTTTTATTCCTTATGCAACAAGCCAGTGTCCCACCTTCCAAAAAAGCAAAACAGGCATTACCAGCACATCAAGTAAAACAAATAGTACTTTGAAATGATAAGGCAATTATCATTTATCATCATAAAATTATAAGGCAATCTTCATAAGCTTGGCTGATTCCTCTTGCATTAAAACAAAGCTTCACAAACCAACAAGAAATCAAACTCATTTGGCAGTGCCTGGGGAACAATCTAGCTTTGGCAAGAAAAGCCTCAGTACCCACCATGCCATTTCTGTCTGGATCTGAAATCTGCTTCCAGAACAGTGATAAAACAACACAGCTCTTCTCTGTGAACCCAAAACAATGGAGGGTTGCAATCCCCCCATTCAGCTTTAAGGGGAACACAGCTGATTATCAAAGAAAGGCTTATCCAGCACTTCTATTATTCTTAAATGCCAACATTTCATCCTTTCTTTACAAGTCTTTGCTTACTAGTTTGTGTACAAAGACCATGTTTTAACCATCCACTTCCCAACTGCTCTCTGCCCAATTTCTTGCATTCCCTTTCCTTTTATTATTTTTCCTTACTATTCCCTCTGCTTTCACTTGCAGAGTCCTTGCCCCCATAGGTTCCAATTCATCACATATAAGCAAGGCAGTAAACAATGTTGACACTCAACAGGCTTTACAAATACCACATATGATCTGGCCATAATGCAAAATTATCTTTAACAACTGACTTTGTCTCAGCACCAGAACAGCTTTGAAAATTCTGGGTAAGACTGAGCCAGGAATTGACACAATAGATCTAAATAAGTCAGTGCCAACCAAGCAACTTCTGAAGGCAGTTATTAGACAATGGGACAGAACTGCAAGCTTTGAGGATCATATATCCTATCTCCAGGATTAAAAAAAAAAAATCCTGTTTCTGGCAGCCAACATCTTTAAATTTAAATTACTAATTAAAAAAATAAAAGTCTGTCATGGGAGAGCAGGAATGGCAGTTGTCAGGAAGAGCAGGCCAACAGTCACCAGATCCAAGAAACAATAAGTCTCAGGGAACAAAAGGCATGCATATGGATTGGCTTAGTTTTTTCTGAGATCCATTTCTTCACCCTTTTTTTTTTCCCCTAAAAGAGAAATAATGCCATACAGAGCTTGTTTGTTTACTAGAGACTATTATAATATGATTTGGAAGGAAATGAATCAGAGGGACTGAATTGAAGTCTTTTGATACAGACAAGCATCATCAAGGCAGGGTTAAGAAAGGGTAAGCCCCTGTGAGAGCAGCAGGAGGAGGCTGGGAAGCATGACCTAACTTCCTGAGCTCTTCCTTCATGAGGGAAACCATTTTCTTCTCAAGAAAGCCTAAACACAGCTGAAGAAAGTCCTGCAGATGTATTCACATAAATAATCTCCTATGGTTTTGGACACCAAATAACAATGCAACGTCATCAGACAGAGTTTTCCAAAGCAGCTCAGCTGGAACACCAGTGCACACACAGGTAATATGCTGGCACATACTCAGTGAGATTCTTACCTTCAAGGACTGGATTTGACTGCAAAAGTTGTTCTTTTACTTGATTAACCTCTGCCCCTTTTCCACACACAGCAGCTACATATGACATGACAAGTTTGCTTGCCTCTGTGGGGGAGAGCCAAACAAAACAGTGATAAGCATTGGCAAAAAGGCTGTAATGTGATTTTACAGACTAAATCTCCAGCACGTTTTCTCAACGCCAGACAGGAACTGTGAGCACATGCATTTCAGTTCTCCCCTGCACCATCTGGAAATGCAGAAGGAGCACACCCCGCTCTGAGACCCAGGCCATTACAGCAGCAATTCTCTTGATCTAAACACCTAGAGCCTCTACCCAAGCTAAAAAAGCCACCACTGGATAGAGCACATAACTTTCTCCTTTTCATTTAGCCTCCGTAAGAGGCACTCTCCAAGGAAAGAACATTATCCCCTGCTGACACATTGGAAATGTTTTAATCTAGCCTGAAAATAAACAGGCCCAGGCAGTTTCAAGACACAAAATTCAATCAGTTTATATCAGCAGATACACAACAAGTGCAAAACACAACACTTATACACATATAATTACAACTCTAATCTACAAGCAACTGAGTAACTACAACATCACCTAACATGCTGCATTATTTTCTCTTTGAAAATAAAACCAACAGACAAAATGAAGCATTCATTTAAACAATAAAACTAGTTTGGAGTTGCTTTTAATAAAATTTGGAACAATTTCTGGATTCTCAAAGCTGGGTTCATATGGGTGTCAATAACCCATGATAGAAAGAAATATTAGATAATCCATCCAACCCTTCTGTTATTGCTGGTCAGGAAAAAGCAGCTGGAAAATGATTTGGTTTATAAAGAGGTTACTATGATGCAAGATAGTGAAATTTCAGGCAATATAGGCTGATATATAATGTAATTACTAACAGCTGGACACCAAATCAATTCCAGACTGTGGTCATTTAAAAAAAACCCATTACATTTGTAACAGATCTTCAGAGATCTGTTACAAATTTAAGTGTCTCATTTCAGGAAAGAACTGACAGATGAGACGTTATCCCTTAGATTTTGATTCTTCCTATTTAACCAAATTTGTTTGTTAGCATTATATTACTATCCCACGAGTAGAGGAAAATGAGCAAACCTGCCACACAGGAAGCAAGCAGACAGAAAAAAACTTTAGGTCTTTTCAGAAGGCTCCCATCTTCTTTATTTGTGCCTGAAACCCATCTCTCATTTTTGACTCTGTTCTCTTCACAGCTTGGAACTACCCAATTATTTAATTTGAAATATTTCCTAAAACAGTCAACATCTTTAAGCACAAGCACTCAATCACTGAGAGAAACAAGCACTGAAGCAGCAAAAAAGCTATTATAATAGTTTACACACAATGACTTCAATACAGGCTTTGAATATCAGCAAAAGAAAATAAAGGCCCTTTCTCTTATTAGGAAATCTGTTTGGTCCAAGAAAGACATCTGGAAGGGAGTGTTCACCCCAACATTTCAAAAAAATTTAAATACGCCCCTTATTCTCATGATGCACCATGTTTTCTTGCCCAATGTAACTATCAGTTAACATTAAAAACATACAGAGAAACAAGGACAAAATTGGAAGTAAATAAAAAGACTCAACTGTGGTTTCAGTTTTTCCAGAGAAAAATGTCAAATATTCCAGCTACCAAAAATTTAAAACACAGTTATATAGTGTATCTGTAGTAAAAAGTTTGCTTCCTTGACTTCAGTAGCTTCCTACCCTCTCCACCCCCTATTTTGTACTTACCTTTACAAAAAAGGAATAATTCATATTATTTCCCATATGGCTATAAAAATTACAGAACCTGCAAAATCTCTATACAAATCTAAATCTACTATTTACATACAGAGAAGTTCAACAACTCAACCTCTGATTCACCTTTCAAATGAATAAATCAATAATATATGTGCCTCAGTTGTATGAGGTGCTTGATAATTCACAATTTGTGGAAAAGAAACCAAGGAGAGGAAATCAAGACATTAAATACCACCAGTCCAGGACTCTTTGCTAAAGTCTGAGCTTCTAGATAGAACCTCAAAGAGTCATATTAATAAAGAACTTGGGGTTTTTAAACTACACTTCTACTGAACATGCTTTTCTGTCATTGAACTGTAAATAAGGATTACATTACAAGGCTTCAAGACCTCTCAGTTGGGTGCCACCAATCAAAGAGCACCAAAGATGATGCCTACACTTTATATGTACACAAAAGTCTTGGAAAGCAACTTCTTGTTACCTACTTTGAGTCTTGCTCAGAATAAGCCCCACATATTCTCAGATGCAAAGGAAAAATCTCTCAAATTACTTGGAAGCAGATGTATGCCTTCCTACCTGCTGTCTCTTTTGCAAGTCACCTCTGTTTTAAATTGCTATCTGTAAAAATAACTGGCTTCTTTCTTTTTTAAGTTTTACTTAAAATGTACTGCAGTTATGCAATCCTCTCTTGGTTTCTAACCTTCCAGTTTAAAAACCAGCAGTCATTTTCAAGGAAATGTCAGCTTTGCCTAAGAAACTCAGTGTTCTGGCACACAAGCCAATCTGAGCACTGCAGCTGAGCACAGTGTGCAAAAGGCTGATAAAATTTCCAAAGTAATCAGCTACAGTTATTTATTTTCCTTAGATAAAAAGCATAATTCAGTTTTTAAAGGCACGTATTTATTGAGAGACAAGTGGAAGTATCAAGACTAGAAAACTCAGAGCATTCAATTTTCCATGTCTTCAAGTTTCGTACCAGGACAGCCTAAACATTTTCTGGCCCTTGCAACCCTCTGTGACAAGTCAGCATGACTTTGGTACAGCTCTTGATACTGATGAGGATGCTGCTCTAACATGACATGGGATTTCAACGTGGTGACAGTGTGAAAAACCATTATTTTATGTGACTTCACAGCTGCAGCAACAAGTGTGGCAGCATTCACCTTCTGCAATGGCCAGACACACAGAATTACTGACATCTCTCAACTCTTAACAACTCCAGCTTCCCTTTGCAAGGCTCTGAACGACCCTGAATGTTTTTTAATCAGATCCTCACTGCTCCTTACCTGTTTTCCCAGCTCCACTCTCTCCTGTGATAAGGATGCATTGGTCTTTGTCCTGGTCCCTTAAAGACCTGTAAGCTTCATCAGACAGAGCAAAGCTGCAAAGAAACAAAGAGCCAATCAAGAATTAGGAAAAAAAAAACAACAAACTACCAAATACTGACAATAATTACAATCTGTCCTCCGCACACCCAGGAAGAAAAGAAAACCAACAAACACCACAACTCTCCAAGTTCTAATGTTCCATAAGTGGTGAAGCACTCACTTTTCAGAACATAAAGACCTACAGAAGCAAAATGGGTACTTTTTCTCAGAGGCTTACTTAGACCTCCTTCAGGAACAAGCAAAGATAATCTTGAAGGTTTCCTAAAGATAGCAAAGTCAAAACAAAGTAACATAATTTTAGGGAAGTGTAGCTATCTTTCTTCATTGAACAAAATGTCACATTCTCTGCTGAAAAAAACATCAATGCAACATCAGGGCATGGTTTGTCTGAAGACAACTCTAAAATAAAGGAAAGAGGAGAACCCTGAGCAATAAGTACATCATAAACCACAATTTCTACTCAGTAAGAAGAAATCTCACAACCTTATAAAACATTGAGCATTCTAAGACTATGGGTGCAGCTGGACTTGTGCATGAATATGCAGAATTATTTTCCACTAACTGTGCTCTTAACCCAATAAGTGCAATGTCATGCAGGGAATCTAAAGAATATAATAAGAACCAACAGATTTCCTGTGCCAAAAATGTCTTTTCCTGGAGCTCAGAATATCATGACCCTGAAATGCCTGGGCTGCAATTTGAATCCAGATGTGCTCTGCTGCCATGCAGCAACATATACTTTGGAGAAGTGCAGATGGTTTACTTATATTTAGTTTTCTTTAGTAGTAATTTTGAGACAGAACAAAGATTTTCTTTCAACTGCATATTTCAATTAATGGAATGAAGTACTCTGGTAACTAAGCACTTTCCCCTTGGAAAAACTTAAACAAATAGTACCTGAAAAAGGACATAAAAGCAAAATCCACACAGAAAGACACAAATGCATAACCAAATTAAAGAAAAAATATGATATCCAAACACACCATATTTTTACATTAAATAAACAGCTGTCCAACAGACCAAGACCTTTGTTAGATACTGCATCTAGTAAAATATTTAGTGTTTATATATATCCAAAAGTGAATATTGTTTATTATTTACAGCAAACAAACCCTGTATGAAAAACAGAAATGAACCCTCAGGTCAACATAAGATGCAGAATCACTGCAGGTTCAATGCACTTTTTAGAAACTTGATTTTTTTATTCTACAACAGTTCAGGAGCTTTGCATTCAGCTGGTAACAGCAAACAGATCAAATGTTTGTTTTGGACAACACAGCTACATGGTGCTTTTTTCACAGGCTCCTCTATAGAAGAGCAAGCTCTTTGTCATGACACCAGTGATGGGAAGCAGGAACAACACAATGCAGGCAGTGAGAGCCACTCAGGGCGTCGTCTGGAGGCTCCTACTGCTGCCCCTTAAAGCTTCAAATATTAAACCTACATTTACTAAAATCAGTCCATACTTATTGCTACCACAGTCCCTTAGCTTCAGGTTTCTCTCACCAAAAAAGTAGTGAAGAGCATGGCATGGTGTCTCAAATTTATCATCAGGTGCACGTGCAACACTGTTTTTTGTACTTCCTCGTCCCTCACCTGTATTAGACTCATCTCTCATTTGCTTATTTGGGTTTTGGTTTTGTTTGCCTGTTTTTCATGGTCACATCATGTTACCAGCCCAGCAAGGACCCAGGCAAGCGAGGGCATCCTGAACGAATTGGAAGATGGGGAAATGAAACACCTCGCAGCTCCTTTGCTCCTAAGCACTAACACCCTCCCTCCCTCTCCAGGGCCTGCCAAGGATGCTCAGCCCATCCTTTCCCCCTCTCTGTGTCCCTCCCACCTCCTCTCTTGCAGCACATCTGCCTGCCCAGCTCCGTGACCCAGCCAGGGCTCCACCTCTCTCCCTGCTTTTCTCCAGCCTGTTTTGTCCAAGGCACTAAATTACAATTCTCCTCTCTGCACAGATGGCTGGAGCATCCACTTAACACCCGTGATCAGAGGTCATTAACTCCTTTTGATACACATCCCATCCAACCCCGAGCAGGGCTGATCTCTCAAACCTTAATACTGCTGTGCTGATTGAAGCATTTGAACTCAGTAGTTCAGCTGGAGGTGAAAATGTGTTTACAAGAGAGTAGCAGGCTGTAATGTTTTTAGCATTACAACAAAGTCATATTGTGATGTGGCCAACATGCTGGAGAACTAGCAAAAAAAATATAAAATATTCTGCTGCTGCTGAGAGACCATGACACAATTTCTGGCACCCATTTTACTGTTTGGAATCCAAACTACAGTAGCAGTAACACTTTACCAGACTCTGTTACAGGACATATTTAGGAAATTAATATTTGTTGAATGCTGTTGCAGATATCCTTGCAATTTCAAAAGTACAACAGCACTCAGAAAAGCTTATTCCAGCACAGATTTCCTTTCATTTTGCAAATTAAAAATTAAAAGCAACAGGATGAAGATGAAAGAAATAAACTTCCCTGAGCATTCATGGGCCACATGAGACCAACTTTAACAATAAAGCTGTGATTTCCACAGGTTTGACTGAGGGAAACTGTCTTTCAGCAAGAAGATAAAACTCTGAGACGCTTTTCAAATTTACAGACTGGATGGCTCATTCTGTGCCTCTTGTCCTTCAAACAATCTTGGCCATCAACTAGTTTTTCACTTTTGAAACTATTTTCTTGGCAGTAGTTTCGCCCTGGAAAATGCAATCAGCATCAAGCACAGAGGAAGTATTCTCTGCTGATATACTGAGTTACGAGTTAATCAGCTTAGTACTCATTCATCTTTTCAATAATACACTGAATTTAAATTTCTCAACAGCACCTGTCAAAATGTATTTTACTGCTTGATGAATTTATTAACTCTGCCTGCACTGCATAGTTAAAGACACCAAATCATGCTTTTTCTCCTTCCTCCACAGAAAAACCAAGAGCCTAATACTGCAATGAGGTTTCTGAAGTGGGAGGAGAGAGGGGGGATTTCATCCAGTTCTGGTTTAATCCAATCTAGTCAGAGATTTCCTGCCATTTTCTCGAATCTACACAACCCACAAAGCCTAATAACACCCTACATCAGGGTATCAAATATTATCTACTGCAGACAAAAGAAAAAGTAAGTCAACTCATTTCAAAAGAAGTTTTGCATAAGTACTTATCAAAAGTGACCCAGTAGAAGTGTAAAATCTATCACTGATATTTCAGCCATTGTTCCAACAATCCAGTTGGAGGAGGAATAACCAAGAGTCTTTTTAAACAACTAAGATTTGTCTTTCTGGCACTACAAAAGAGCAATGGCACATTTCTGTCAGTCTGAACAAAGATCTTTATCTCAAAGAAAAAGATACATCTATTCAGATGTCATGTTGACTTTCATGACACAACATTATACCTCACAGTCCTTCCTATCTATTATCAACATCTATAATAAGCATTACAGTAACAGAAAACCCAAACAAAAACAAACTTTGGGTCTTGTTTCAAACTCTACCTGATTAAAAAAAATATAATTCCATGTTATTAGTTATTTGTTTAAAAAAATAATTTCATTTGAGGTCATTTAAGTTTAACACATATCAATGGTCCAGAGACCACAAAGAATCCTGGCCTTTTCCTTTTAGCAGCATGGAGAGACATGGCTCTGTGAAGCCACATTTGCAACCATGGAGTTAAACCACATACAACTCTTCGAGCCACCTCCCAATTACAGAGCCTAAGTAAAATTTCAGAATAGTTTAAAAAGCAGTTATAAACCATGTGTTTCAAATTAGCTGATGAGTGCCTCAGCAGTGTCACTTACCATACCTTATAATAAGCTCTCCTTTGATTTTTAGGCTTTCCTGGAGGAAGATGACATCCTCTTACCACAACAAACACAGAAATATTTACTGGAGCTCTCTTTTAGCTAAGTCTTATGTATAGAAGCAATTTGAAATTGAAATGCCACCCACACCTAGCTCAGTAAGAGGGCTCTGCTTCTTTCTAGCACGGCCTCTTCAGCCACAAGCTCCAGATGGCCAGATCTGTCACAAAGTCCTAACCCAAAAACTTAAAGGGAAATAGTATAGCCCTCCAAGGGAAACTTCCAAAGGGCTCTGGCAATTTTCAGCATCTGAACAGCATCTAAGTGTCTGGGGTCAGGAAGAGCCAGGAGCCAGATTCCCATTTGCTCACCCTGAAACAAGCAGCCAGTGCAGCATTTGAACATTCCAGGTTGCACCCATAATTACAATAGCCGTAAAAATCTCCTTCATATAAGTCAGAAATTCACTTCAAATGAGCAGCTTTTCTACCACCTTTTTTCTTCATGCCAAACTCACCAGGATCAGTATTTGCCAGATACTGGTACTTATTTGTGCTATCATTTCCATGCTTCCTTTCATTTTCCTTAGCATTTTCAATTAAAAGTAACTCGTTAACACTCTTTTAAATTCTCTCCAATTGCTCTTCTCATGCACTAATAGAGTCAATTCACTTATTCACCAGCTGTTGCTTTGATTCAGAGACCCTGGGTCCCCATTTCAGAATATTGATTGCTTAATCTTGGCTATTGGCTGACAACTTGTTTGCTACTTTCTAAGGAAATGAGGAAAACCTCTTTTTTTGACTGCTCCAATTCCTCATGAAGCAGAGTCCTGGTACCAGGGTTCATTTCTGCCCAAACATGTCTAAACACACTGGCAGGATGCTAAAGGCCAGTGCTTATCAAAAACTATATACCATGCTAGACTATAAAGAATAACAGCAATACATAAATTGTGCACACACTTTTAATACAAATTTTACATAAAATTTAATTTAATTACTTCAAGTTTACTTAAAGGCATAATTTAATTTCCTTTCTTCTCTTTCTGAGTGCATAGAAGTGCACAGTAGCAGGGCAACAGCAAAGAAATTATTTCTTTTTCTCATGATATGCAGTGGGAAAACATCAGAATTACATTTTGCTTCAGTATGAAAATCCTAACAACCTGAGCTAG